CACACGGGCGCAGTGTGTCTCGGACACTTACCGTTGGCGGTGCGGTGTCCCTCGCTGGCTCTCGGGGCTGGAGATTCTCCGTCTCGCGGAATGCCGTTCACCTTAACGCGCAGAGTCGGGGTCAGGAGACTCTCGCTGTGACCTGAGCGGCCGGAGAGGGAATCGTTATCAAGCGACGCCTTTCGCGGTGATTGTTACGCCATTTCAAAGTGTCCTGAGGAGAGGCACTGCTCCGGTCACGGTCACAAACGACGTCCCGACCGTGTGTGACCAGGGCTCCCTCGTCCTCCTCGACCTCCTCCGCCGCCTTTGATACTATGGACCACTCAATCCTCCTCCACCGCCTCTCGTCCCACCTCAACCTTCAAAGGTTCCGTCCTTGACCGGTTCAGGTCCCACCTTTCGCACCGACTCCACCTTGTCTCAGGAAACGGCTTCTCCTCCACCCCGCACCGTCTCGTGCGGCGTTCCTCGGGGCTCTGTCCTCGTCCCCCTCCCCTTCGCCCTCCACGTGCTCCCCCTTTGGTGACGTCATCCGCAGACATGGGGTAAATTTCCTCATGTATGCGGATGACACCCAACTCTATCTCTCTGCCTCTACCCTCAACTCCAGGACCTCTGCTCTCCTGACCGACTGCCTGTCACTCCGCCACTGCCTGTCTGACCCAAGTCCTGGACGAGGGACAACTTTCTCCAACTCAGCGTCAGCAAGACCGAGGCCCTCCGGATTGGCTCGTGCCAGCGCCTCCGCACCTCGGGCGCCGGCGGCATCAACCTCACTAAGCCGGTCAGGAACCCGGGGGTCTCGTTTGACCCTGAACTGTACTCCCTCCCCCACATCCGCGCCGTGACCGGCACTGCCTACCACCACCTCCGCAACACTGTCAGACTCCGCCACCGCCTCACCCCTCAGGCTGCCCATACCCTCACCCACCCATTCGTCACCTCATTCGTCCCTCCTCGTCGGCCTTCCCAACTCTCGGGGTGCAACGCGTGCAGTTTGCTAACGTTTGACGGGCCCCGTAATTACCGTCCGTCGCCTTCAAGGGGAAGCCCGCGGGTCTGGGCAAGTCGTCCACCACAGCGTAGAGCGGCTCGAACAGGTGGAAGTGTTCCCTGGCAGCCGCGTCGGTTCCCGTCACCGCTGTGCTCTCGATGACCTGACGCGCAAGGTGGACGGGGGGGGGGTGAGGATTTTAAGGAAAAGAAGGGAAGGAAGGAAGGAAGGAAGGAAGAGAAAAAAGGAAGAAAGAAAAACATCTCAATAATAATAATAGCAATAATATATCTCAATAATAGCCATAATCCTGGCCTTCGACAAGTGTAGTGAGCGTGTGTTTTTGCGGACCGCGCGGGGCAGACAATCGCGTCCCACGAACAGCCGTGGATTGAAGCGGCCAATTTATTATTATTATTATTATATTATTAGTTTTTGTGTGTGGGTGTGGGTGGGTGGTGGGGGGAAGAAATTTTGTGTCTTGGGTGCTGTCCCGATTCTCCGCGCTTCAGTTCGCTCGTCTGCGGCGGAACTGGTTCCCGGCGTTTCACACGTCAGACCGAATGTACGTACCTCTCCCGCCACCTTTTTTAGTGCTTCCACGTAAGCCGTCATGGCGTCTACTTTGGACATGTTGCCCAGCGCTTTCCAGGTGTCCCTGCAGCGGGGGAACAGGAACACAGCCCCCGTCACTGATCACCCACGACTCTCTCTCTCTCTCTCTCTCTCTCCCCCCTCTCTCTCTCTCCGGTGACAACCCAATTCTAAAGGGAACCGTTCCTTGCGTTGGTTATGACGTCCGAAAGTTGGCTGACGGTGAGGCTGAGTGGGAGGGGAGGTGGGGGCGGGGGCGGGGATGGGGGTGGGGGTGGGGGAGGACGGGGTTTGGGGGCGGGGGGCGGGCCACGGTGAGTGTGATTCAAGCCAGAGTTGGCGGAGCGGATTTGGTGGGGCGGCTGTGGGGGGGGTTGGAGGGGGTGGGGTTCCCCAGTGTTCCCCCCACCACCCCCCCCCCCACCCGTGAAGAACCAAAGAGGCCGTCGGTAATTCCTCTCCGAGCTGCCGTGCGATTTCGTTTGCGACACAACAACGACAACAGTAACAACAACTTGTATTTATACAGCGCCCCCTTCAGGCCGGTTGGAGCGCTTGACCCCGAGTTGGGTGGGAGCGGGTGGGTGGGGGCGGGGAGCGGGTGGCGGGGGTTGGTGACTGGACCGTTATCACGATCGAAGAGGAAGGTCTATAGGTGGGATTTGAAAGTGAAGGCGTGGGGCGGTGGGGGGGGGGGGAGAGGCAGAGGGGGGATCGAGCTCCAGAGTTTCGTGGGGGGGGGCAGTGGCTGTCGATGGCGCAGTGGAGGGGGGTGGTGCGGGGGGGGGGGTGGGGGGGGGGAGGGTGGTTACCATTTTAAGCGCCCGATGGGGTCCCAGAAGCCGGGGCGGCTGATGTTACAATGTCCGACTGTCGCCTGTTTGTAATAACCATAAAACCTCAGCATCACCTCATGCGACGGACGATACGAACCTGGGAAGAGAAAAATCCGTCCAGTCGGCTTTACACGTCTCCCTCCCTCCCTCCCTCCCTCTCCACCCCACCCACCCGGCTCGGAGCCAGGACCCCCCCCCCCCCCCCCCCCCACCGGCCGTTGTTAGGCGCTCCGAGACGCTTACCCCCCCCCCCACCCCCTCCGAAGGGAACCATCCCCCCCATCGTCGTCTCTACGGCCACCACCGGTACTCTCCAGGATTCGGTTATTAATATTATCGGCGCTTCATCGCCACCTCGAAACCGTCTCGAGGGCGCGCGGCGGGATTCACCGTGAAAGCCCGGCGACCCGCGAGGGTTCGAGGGGTGAAACACGGCGCCCGCTTTGACCGCAGCGACGTCCGGCGGACGGCCACCGGCACCGACGCGAATGGGACTGTTGACCAGGACCCCGGGAGAGAGAAAGAGAGGGGGAGAGAGAGAGAGAGAGAAAGAGAGAGAGAGGGGGGAGAAACATCTTTCTCTCCTCGAAACGTAGGGCTTTGGTTTGACATCTCATCCCAAAGCACAGCAGTGCTCCTTCCCCCCACTCTCCCCCCCCCCCCCACCCCCCCCCCCCACAGCGCTGCAACGGAACGTAAGCCTCATCTCCGAGCGAACTTGAACCCTCACAACCTTCCGACTCGTAAGAGGAGAGGGTGTGAGGGCCATCGACTGAGCCGGGACTGGGTCCTCACTTGGGATAATAATCACACGATCGGAATATTCTCTTCTCTTCCCTTCTCTTCCCTTCCCTCCCGCACCCCCACACGCACGCGCGCGCGCGCACACGTACACACACACAAACACGCGCACACGCGCACACACACACACACACACACACACATTCATACACGCGCGCACGCACAAACGTACGCACACACGCACACACAAACATACACGCGTGCGTGCGCGCACACACGAACATGCACACATTCACACACACACACACACAAACATACACACACGCACATGCGCACACATTCACACGCACACACACAAACATATACACACACACCAACATACACACACACAAACACACACACACACACATACACACACACATACACACAAACATACACACATTCACATACACACAAACATACACACATTCACACACACACGAACATACACACACGCACACACACATTCACACGCACACACACGAACATACACACACGCGCCCACGGAATCAATCATTGGTGAATTGTGTTGCACAACCCGATGGCCGGGAGAGCAGAAGGTCGCTGTGCGCCCACTGCTCTCAAGAGCCGAAAGCGTTTGCAACGATACGATCTTGTGGTGAGACGCGGTGTCTGGGGAGAGGCGGAGGTGTGTGGGAAACTCTTCCGCTTGTTGCGCTGGGGCCGGTGCGAGCTGCGATGCCGTTGCATTTAAAGCCGCCTTCGACCGACCCAGTGGAGTTTGCTCTCGACACAATGGGCTGAGAACCTGGAGTCCTGTAGCTCAGTGGTTAGAGCACTCGCTTTGCAAGTGAGAGGCCTGAGTTCAATCCCCGGCAGAGGGCCAAACCTCGGGCAAGTTTCCTTACTCCACACAGAGCCTAATAATAATCCCTCCAAAACCAAAAACAATAATAAATTGGTCATTTTCAATCCACGACTGTTTGTGGGACATTGCTGTGCGCAATTGGCTGCCGCGTTCGCCCACAAATATACAGTCAATTCACTCTACAGTGTGTTCTGTGAAGCGCTTTGGGACGTCCTCCCGACGTGAAAAGCGCTATATCAAACGCGAGGATTATTATTATTATTATTAACCTTAAAATCAATCCCAACCCCAGGGGTCGGGGGGGGATAAAAATGCCCGACTTCCGGGTCACTGGATCATCAGCTGATGTCACTCCCTGCTTTGAACGGGGGGTGGGCGGTGGGGTGGGGTCCAGGGGTGGGGGTGGGGGGGGCAGAATCCGGTAAAATGTCCGGCCGGTCGAACTGGACGCTCGCTTTTAACGTCTGGGCCGGAAGATGGCACCTCCAATGCGTGCGATGCAGGGCTTTGTGGAGTTCCTGTGGCTCGGCGGTTAGAACCCGCGCCTCGCAAGCGAGTGGACCCGGGTTCGATTCCCGGGGCCGGTCAGGTCGGGGCGAAACCTTGAGCAAGTTTCCTTCCCCCCCCCCCACCACACACTGTTTACCAGCAGTCAGTAGGAACCCGATTGTTAGTCGATTGGCGGATCGCTTTTCCGGGGGTAATAATCCCTTTAAAAATAATAATAATAATAATAATAATAAATGCACGAATGGACGTGCACGATTGTCTGCCCACAAAACACCCAGTCACTCCGCTTGACAGCGTGTCCCGCCAAGCGCTTTGAGACGTCTCTCGAAGACGTGATAAGGCACTGTATCAAATGCGAGTATTATTAATATTATTATTATAATTTGACAACCCCCTCCCCCCCCTCCCCGCCCGCCCCAACCTCGGTGCTCGAGCGACAGCCCGGACAGACGGAAGATCTCTCACCATTTTTCGGGAGGCTCTGAATGACCGACACGGCCGCCTGGAATCGTCGCTGGTGGTCGTCGGGCGTTTCCGCCATGTTTCGGCTTCGCCCGCTGACTCCAGGCTCCGGTTATGGTGGCGGGGGGATGTGGGGGGTGGGGGGGAGGGAGGGTGGTGGGGATTGGGGGGGGAGGTGGGAGGTGTTGCCTATCAACACAGAGACAGAACCGTGACTCCACTGCTGATCGATTGAGACACAAACCGTCCGGAAAGCTCAGCTGGAGACGAGAGACGTTTAAGACGGGACGAGGGGCAGAGGCGTTCGAAATCCGCGCAATAATATAATAATCCTTGCGATCGGCGTGGCGCCTTATATCGCGTCGCTGAGACGTCTCAACGGGGTTAACCGTAGGGGATGTAAATGTCAGGGGATACCCCATAGAAGTTGGCGATTGAGGGAATCGCTAAAAAAAGAGAATTCAGCAGGAACTGCTTCACGCAGAGGGTGATGAGGATGAGGACGATGATAATAATGATCATATTAAGGCTCGGATTTGGCATCGCTCCTCATCGCGTGGTAGAGACGTCTCAAAGCTCTTCGCGCGGGTTTGCCGTCAAGTGCCAACGACTGGGTATTTTGGTTGGGTGAGAGAGACAGCCCCCAATTGCGGGCAGCAGCGTCTCGCAAGTGAAACCAATGGCCGATTTTATTAGCGCGGGGGGGGGGGTGCGGTGGGTAGGGGTGTTGGGTGGTGTGGGGGTGGGGTGTGTTGGTCAGGACAGGGGGAGAGAGAAATGATTTTACGTGGAGTCCTGTAGCTCAGTGGTTAGAGCACTCGCTTTGCAAGTGAGAGACCTGAGTTCAATTCCAGGCAGAGGGCGAAACCTTGGGCAAGTTTCCTTACTCCACACAGAGCCTAATAATAATCCTCCAAAACCAAAAACAATAATAAAATTGGTCATTTTCAATCTACGACACTTTGTGGGACATTGCTGTGCGCAATCGGCCGCCGCGTTCGCCCACAAACATACAGTCCATTCACTTTACAGTGTGTTCTGTGAAGCGCTTTGGGACGTCCTCCCGACGTGAAAAGCGCTATATCAAACGCGAGGATTATTATTATTATTATTATTATTATTATTACTGTTGTCATTGCGGAAGCCGGGTGCAAAGCGGCTCGCTCGCTCGCTGAGACAGCTTAAGTAAAGGGTTACGAGACCTTTCAACGTCAAACCCCGGCAGTGACTGTCGGCCACTGCACAGCAACCGGATCCACCCATCTCTGGCTCATGTTACGAGCCGTGGGGGCCATCGTTATGGTGACTAAATGCTCCCCCCGGAGAGGAGCGATGTGCCAGAGGGAAAGGCCTGTTATAAACACTCTTCCATCAGCCTCGGCCAAGACAGGAAACGCTGAACATAGCGTTTTAGCTTCCTCTATGTGCAACTCTTAAAGGGGAACCCTCTCTCGCTCGCTCTCTCGCTCTCTCTCTCTCTCTCTCTCTCTCTCTTTCTCTCTCTCTCTCGCGCTCTCTCTTTCTCTCTCTCTCCTCTCTCTCTCTCTCTCTCTCTCTCTCTCTCCCCCTCTCCTTCTCTCTCTCTCTCGCGGAGTTTGTCCGCGAGCTCTGAAGCCCGAGGTCCATTAAGTTGCGCGCCGTCCTATTCGAAGCGCCTTTGAGATGTCCCAACGACGTGATATCGAACACAAGGATTATAATTATTATTATTATTATTGTTATATTCCAACCTCCCCTCCCCTCCCCCCTTCTCTCTCTCTCTCTCGCTCGCTCGCTCGCTACCTTCCAGGTAAATAATTGCATTGGATTTAATGCATATGATTTCGTTCATTTTCTAAAAAAAAATTTGCCGTCTTCCTTTCGGTCTATAGACCGTAAATGGTTGGTGTCCTTTTTAAGAGGCGATGTGGGTTACTTTGGAGCTTCGTGCAGCAGTGACACAGATACCTTCCCTCCCTCACATCCAAGCTGACGCCTGTATACCCACCCGCCCTGAACTCCGTACCCCACCGCAGTCCTCGCCGGGGCTCCTCTGGCTCCCTGTCACGGTGCAAGATCCTCACAACTGGTCGACAAATCTCCTCGCGTCCTGGCTCCCCTCGGGCTGGCCACGGGCCTCCTGCTCGTCCCTCGCCCCCTCCGCTCCACCATCGGCTGCCGCGCTTTCATCCACCCCCCCACCCCCACCCCCACCCCAGAAACTCTGGCGCTCTCTCCCTCCGCCCCTGCGCTTTGCCCCCTACCTCTCCCTTTTCACCTTCTGCCTGAAGACCCTCCTCTTCCGCCGTGATTACGGGACCTCCCACCCCCTCTCCCACCCCGGCTCGCAAGCTGCTGCTGTTGTTGTTGTTGTTGTCGATGCTTGCGTTGCTGGAGATGTCATTCTTCGGGATCCTGTAGCTCGCGTCCTCTTCTGCGCTCAGCTCCCTGAGCCAATTACCACGGTCCTCGCACGGCTTCGCTGGTTTCCCACCCCCCGCAGGAGGTCCGAGTTCGAGATCCTCGTCCTCACCTTTTACAGTCCCTCGACGTCCGTGCCTGGGACGCGCCTGGGGCGCAAATTGGCCGCCGCGTTTCGCCCACAAGACGCACAGTCACTTCACTTTGCAATATATTCTGTGATATTGCTACTAATGTTGTTGTAAGCGCTGTTGAGACGTCCCGACGTCGTAATAAGGCGCTGTATCAAATGCACAGCTTTTCCAAGTCACAGTCTTAAGACCGAAGTGTTAAACTTTTTAATTGTGCATCTCTGCCCCCCCGTTCTCCCCCCCCCCCCCCATACATTCTCTCATTTTCTGTCTGTACAAAAGTACGTCCCCACAATGCTTCTGCAATGAAAGGTCACAACAAATCGGCTTAGACAGACAGGCGGGGAGGGAATGGGGGGTGGGGTGGGTGGCGGGTGGTTTGGGGGGGGGGTGGGGGGCGGTGGGGGAGGGAGGGAGAAACCTCAAGTTTAAAAAGCTTGAGCTACTCTCACGGAAACAAGGAAATGGAAACAGTCTCTGAGCGAGAATGACAGAGATACGGAGCTTGATGCAAGAGGACATCCCGGCAGCTAAACGGGCATTGGGAGAGAACTATGCAAACCTCCAGCAAGTGGCTGAATATGTTGAGAACAACTATGCCAAGGTAGGCGAGTGAGTGAGTGAGTGAGTGAGTGCATGAGTGAGTGAGGGCGTGAGTGAGTGAGTGCATGAGTGCATGAGTGAGTGAGTGAGTGCATGAGTGAGTGAGGGCGTGAGTGAGTGAGTGCATGAGTGAGTGAGTGCATGAGTGAGTGAGTGCATGAGTGAGTGAGGGCGTGAGTGAGTGAGTGCATGAGTGAGTGAGTGCATGAGTGAGTGAGTGCATGAGTGAGTGAGGGCGTGAGTGAGTGAGTGAGTGCATGAGTGAGTGAGTGCATGAGTGAGTGAGGGCGTGAGTGAGTGCATGGGTGAGTGAGTCAGTGAGAGTGCATGAGTGAGTGAGTGAGTCAGGAGTGAGTGAGCAAATGAGCGAGTAATAGAGCGAGTGAGTGAGTGAGTCAATGAGTGAGTGAGCAAGTGAATGAGCGAGTGAGCGAACGAGTGAGTGAGTGAGCGAGCGAGCGAGTAAGTGAGTGAGTGAGTCAGTGAGTGAGTGAGTGAGCGAGTGAATGAGTGAGTGAGCGAGTGAGTGAGTGATTCAGTCAGTGAGTGAGTGAATGAGTGAGCGAGTGAATGAGTGAGCGAGTGAGTGAGTCAGTCAGTGAGCGAGTGAATGAGTGAGTGAGCGAGCAAGCGAGTGAGTCAGTCAGTGAGTGAGTGAGTGAGTGAGCGAGTGAATGAGCGCCTACAGCACGGTTGCAGAGAATGGTTAAACACCTTCCTCGTTCGTCTCGGAAGCTGTCTCGTAGCTTGAAACTCAGACTTTCCACCAAGTCACCTGCACCCCCACATTCCCTTCTCCTCCTTTTAAGGCACATCTCAAAACCCTTCCCTTGGACCGAGCCTTCGGGCGTGCTCCCACCCGCGCCCTCCGCCCTCCGCACCCCCACCCCGAGCTCGGGTCCAAACCCCCTGACTGTCCAGCGCCTTGGGACGTCCTCCCGACGCGTAAATGTCGTCTTGCGTGGTAATGAACCGTCCCGCGACCAGAGCCCGAATGGCGCCAACAGCGTAACCGGTTCAAAAACCAAACAGCTGAGTGAATTACCGTCGCCTCTGCCCGTACCCAGAGCCTTGGGACGTCCTCCCGACGTGAAAGGCGCTGCACGCACGTAACTTGTTGCGCTTGTTCATTGTAAAGTGGCTCAGATTTGCGCGGTTGCGAATTCCAAGTTGCAAACTGCAACCCAAAAAGGTTTCCCAAGGGTAAATCTTTTCGGTCTGTGCTCGAAGAAGACTTTTTGCAAGAGAAACCTCTTGAGATCTTAATTCGCCCCCTCGCTCCTCCCCTCACAGCCCCACTAACAGATACCAATGATCTCCTCATATTAAGAAAACGTCTCAAAGGACTTTATCGCAACCCATTTTGGTTGTCTCCTTGGGACGTCCTCCCCGACGTGAAAGACGCAGTTTAAGTGCAATTTAAACGTCGGCGTTGTTGTTGTTGTTGCGCTTGTATTTGAAGGCCCGGTTGGCAAGCAATGCCCTGGTTTCTATGCGGTTGTGTGCTTCGCATCTCAATAGCTGTAAGTAATGGGAACCGCATGAAAAGTGCTTCAGGTCCTCTTTCAGGATATGATGTGTTTGTTCAGTTGAAACTTTCCCCCCCACTCCCACCTCCCACGCGCACACACACAAACACACGCACACAGGCACGCACACACACACACGCGCACACGCACACACACGCGTGCATACACGCACATACACACAAACGCACGCGCGCGCGCGCGCGTAAGTGAGACATTTTGCCTCAGAACGAAGAGGCATGTTTTAAGTCTCGACAATAACGCTGCACAAAAAAAATCCAATCCATTTGCCTCTCAAATAGTAATAATTATAATAAATTAATATAATATAATTGCCTTCGATGTGGCGCCTCATCAGTCCGTCGAGACGTCTCAAAGCGCCTCACGGAATATGCCGTCAAGCGGAGTGACTGCGTGTTTTGTGAGCGAAACAGTTGTGGATTGAGTGATCACGTTATCGAATAAAACCCGAATAAATGTATGTTTTCCCCCACCCTCTCCCACCCCAGGAACGAATGTCAACGACCCCCTCTCCCGCTCCTGTCTCTCCTTAGATTCTTAAGCGTGAGCAAAAAACACAGACAAACAGAAAACAGAAACCAGCCGTGTTTCCTCCGTATTGTCACTGGTGTCAGGAAACTGGGTCTGAATTAGTAGGTGTCGGAACGCACAGCCTGGTCTGCTGTTGTCCTGTTCCGACCAACTCAGTTTACTTCCACGTTAACTGGGAGGTTTCAGGGCTTTGCTATCCCCCCCCCCCCCTTACCCCCTTTTCTCTCTCCCCCCACCCTGACCGTCCCCCAACCCCCTACCCCCACCCCAGCTCGGAATCGTATGGCTCTGAGATGCTACCACGTGCAGAGGGTGCTGCGTGAATGCAAGTTGTCGTCGAGACAGCAAAGCAGCGAACCGCAACCCCAATCTCTCTCTCGCTGCTCCTCCTCAGTCAGTCTGATAGCGGAAGCAAAAAAAAGGTATTGCTTCTCATCAGTTGCCTCGGGGTTTCTGAGGTGGGAATGTTTCGTGTTGCTTTGCAATTTGCAAAGCGGTGGCTTTGCAAACGCCTGCTGTTTCTGGTTTGACCTCAATAAGAATTGAAACCTCTCTCTCCTCTCTTCTCTTCTGCATTTTCGGGTGTGGAGGTTCTGGGTGCGATCTCCTGTGCAAAATGGTTTCCACGTTTGCTTGTACTTTTGGAGGCCCGGCTCAGTGGTAGCGCTCTCTCTCTCTCGCTCTCTCTCTCTCTCTCTCTCTCTCTCAATCCCTCGGTGTCATGGCTGCCAACCACCCCCTCAAATAAAACTGGTCACTCGCTTCACGGCTGTTTGCGGGGGACTCTGCTGCGCGCAACTGGCTGTCGCGTTTCTCCCGTACAATACGCGGTCAATCCACTTTGCAGTGTGTCGTGTGCTGCGCTTGAGGCGTCTCGACGATGAGTCAAGGCGCCACATCAAATGCAAGGATTATCATCAGCTTATCATTAGTTTTATTTTCTCCTCTGACCACGTTGTTTTGCTGGAAGGCTTTGAGGAGAGAACATTAGATCAGTGTCTGACAAATCGCGTATATATCGGAAGTGTACGGCAAGGGGAGGTAAGGGGGAAAGAGACAGAAAATAGGACCCGGGGGAGGTCTCTTTTAAGAGAATCAGCACAAGCTCTGCGTTGGTCTGATGGGGAGTTTTTGGGGGACTTTTGAGAACTTCAAGCAGAGGATGGTGAGAATATGAAACTGACCGACAGGAGCAGCGGTTCAAGTAAAAAGCATCGACGTGTTGAAGAGAGAGTTTGCATACGTGAAGGGGAAGGGATTAGAGGGGATTTGGGAGGGTCATGGGGCGGGGGGAGAGTGTGGGTATAAATGCTGGCACAGACCAGTTGTTGGTAATAATATATTAACTCAAGCTTTAGGGAAGTAAAGTGGCACTTTTTGGCAATGCTGGGAAACGAGATAAAGCTGAGAGGGACGGAATTTGTTAATGATTCAGCAAGGACAGATTGAGGAAGGCAGAGGGGGGAGGGACATTCGGCAAAGTTTATGAGGAAGTTTGGAGTCCAGGGCGGCGCTGGGGAGGGGGGGGGGGTGGGGGTTGTGTGGTGGAGAGCTGCACAAACAGAGGTCCCGTCTCTACCTGATCAGGTGGACGTTAAAGATTCGTTCGTTCACGTCATGGTTGTTCCTGGCACTTCCTGGCAGATTGGTCTGGATGGAGAAGGCCCCCTCGGTCCATCCGATCTCATCCCTCCAAACCACGGGCCCTGGCGTCTACCCATCGCAGCATCAAGCTGCTTTTCAAACGAGTCCCAGTGTCCCTGCCTCTATCACCACCACCACAACAACAGCTTGCATTTATGTAGCGCTCTTCACATGAGTAGGTTCTACCACCGTTCACTTCAACGAGTTTGCCCACAAACACACAGTCACTACACTCGACCACATATCCCCATTAATCTGCTTTGAGCCAAGCAGCATGCAGGCTCTATATCAAGTGCAAGGCTTATTTAGACCTCAGCAAGGTTTACTGATTAGAATTATAGCATTTTTCAGCACAGAAGAGGCCATTTTACCCATTTTGCCCGTGTCGCTCTCCGTAAGACTGATAATCACAGTGTCGCACAAGCAGTCATGGATTGAGTGACCAAATTATTATTATTATTTTGTTTTGAAGGGATTATTACCCCAGAAAGCGATCCGCCAATCGACTAGCGACCGGGTTCATATTTACTGCTGGGTAAAAACAGAGGCGTGTGGCGTAAGGAAACTTGCCTAAGCTTTCACCCTACCCGGGAATCGAACCCGGGTCCTCTCGCTTGCGAGGCGAGCCTGCTAACTACTCGGCTACAGGCCTGCACATAACACCTCCGTTCGAATGAAAACAGTCCCAGTTCCTCCAGTCTCTCCCATCCCTGTTATCATGCGCTGTATCCTCTCTGCGCTCTCTCTGTAGCCTTGACATGTTTGTTTGTGTTACAGTCTGAAGACAAGACACAAGCTCTACAGGAAGCCAAAGCCTTCACGGCACAGTCTCTGGCCAGCGTGGCTTACCAGATCAACAATTTGGCCGAAAAGGTGCTCAGACTGCTGGATCTCCAAGCCTCAGAGATCCCCAAGATCGAGTCTTCGATCAACTGCATATCTCAGGTTTGGCGAACCGTTCCGATTCGGGGTTCGCTTTGAAGCCCCTTATTTCTCGTCGGGTCTTTATTGGAGTGTACAGTACAGCGACATGGACTGTACTGTACCGAAAACGGACAGGAGTCCTGAGGCTCAGTGGTTGGAGCACTCGCCTCGCAAGCGAGAGGGTTTGATTCGCGGGTCAGGGCGAAACCTTGGGCAAGTTTCCTCGCTCCGCACGCCTCTGTTTACCCAGCAGCGAGCAGGAACCCGGTTGTTAGTCGATTGGTGGATCGCTTTTCCGGGAGCAATAATCCCCTAATAATTTGGTCGCTTCAATCCGCGCCTGTTTGTGGGGACGTCGCTGGGCGCAATTGGCTGCCGCGTTTCGCCCACGAAACATCCAGTCAAGTTCGCTTAGCAGTGTGTTCCGTGAGGCGCTTTGAGTCGTCTCGAAGACGTGATAAGGCGCGATATCAAACGCAGAGGGTGACTTTAAGAATCCGCCAATTTGTGGCGCTCGAAAAGGCCGTGGAAGTGGTAGTGAATCTAAACCCGGGTGGAATTTCTTCCGAGCATTGGGGTGCTAAAAAAAAATGTGACGGTTCACAGCAGACTCAACGACGTGTTTCCCCCCCAATGCAACGTCCCCAAATGTTGCAAGTAACAGTGACTCGTTTTAGCCCGTGGTCATTGCGGGACGAGTTTATCTGTAACTTGCAAACCGGCCGGTCTGTTTACAGAATCGTCAGCTGGTGAAAGACTTCCTGAGCTGTAAAAATAAACGGCCTCAAAAGCACTGCTCACAACCCTGAGGGCCCAAGCGACACTGAAATTAAAATGCAAACCCTTTTATTCTTCTTAAAACTGGTGGCGGGGACAGAAAAGCCGGACGAGCGAGAGGCACGGTCTGCGCAGTGGCTCGGGCCAGGGAGTTCCTCTTGTAAACCCGGTTCGATTCCGACTCCCCCCCCCCCCCCCCCCCCCCCATTCTGACCGGGAATCGACGCTTCCACGTCAATATCGTGCGTTGCGCGCGCGCTCTCTCTCTCTCTCTCTCTCTTGCTCTCTGTTGCTCTCTCAAAACGCTCCCTCGCTCACCCGCAGCGAACGGTCCCAGCCCCCTACAAGCGCTCAGGGACTCTACCCCGTCTAAAGGCCGCTATGTAAATGCGAGTTGTTGTTGTTGTTGCTGTTTACTTTGGGCTAGCAGCCCGTTCGAGGGAACTGTGCGTCCACTGGGCAAGGGAGAAGGGAAGGTGTGCATGTGTGTGTGTGTGTGTGTGTGTGTGAGGGGGTTTGGGGCGGTGACCTTAGGTACCTTTGAAGAGTTACACGTTAATGTGGGCCTTAAAGGCATATAGAAAGGGATGGAAGGGCCAGACAGATAGATAGATAGATAGATAGATAGATAGATAGATAGATAGATAGATAGATAGATAGATAGATAGATAGATAGATAGATAGATAGATAGATAGATAGATAGATAGATAGATAGATAGATAGATAGATAGATAGATAGATAGATAGATAGATAGATAGATAGATAGATAGATAGATAGATAGATAGACAGATAGACAGATAGACAGATAGACAGACAGACAGCTTTTGTTGCAACCATCCAGGTCCTCAAACAGTTAACAGAGCGATTGGCTTGATATCAACACGAAACATGGCAGTTGCAAAGGGAGGGGGCAAGAGTGGGGAAATCAATAGCAGCGAGGTTAATAGCAGAGAATGACTCCGGTACGAACACAGTGCTGAAGTCCAGGCTCTTTCTGAATTCGAATATCTTAAACAGAACAAAACATTTAATCCGCTTTCCCAGGCCTGACGCCTTTCCCTGAACGCCTGCAACAGAGCCTCTGCTGTGAATACTCTTTCAGAAAAAGAAATCCACTCGATGCCAAGTCTCCTGATTTGCAAAGTCTCCCGGGGAACGTGCGCTTTGAGTCGCTTTTCCCACGTGAAAAGACGCTGCGTGAATGTAGATCGCGTCGCGTTTCAATGTCGTTTTGCTCCTCTGAGTCTCAAATACCCACTCAGTCTCAGCTTGCAGGGTCTTGCTATTTTGACTTAAGATTTAAGATCGCCCACCGCTGCGAGAAATTCTTCAATTCAGTCTGAATTCGGAAGCACGGAACCACAGCATCATAGGCTTATACAGCACAGAAGGAGGCCATTCGGCCCATCGTGTCTGCGCCGGCTCTTTGAAAGAGCTGTCCAAGTTAATCCCACTCCCCCCCCACCCCCCCCACTCTCTCCCCAGAGCCCTGCAAACTTGTCCTCCCCAAATATCTATCTACTTCTCTCTTGAAGGTTGTTATCGAATCGGCTCAAACTGTGAGACCAAATACCAAATGTTCTCAACGCTAATGACGACAACCACAACTCAAACTTGTCACAATTGGGGGATGAAAGGGGGGTTGGGGGGAGGAGAGGGTAAGCAGGAAATGTCTGAAGGTGCAGTTAAAGATAGAAATGTAGCTATTAATAATAATCGTTGCTTTTTATATGTCTTACCACGTCTTCGAGACGTCTCAAACACACTGTACAGTGAATCGACTGTATATTTTGTGGGCGAAATGCAGCAGCGTCCCCACAAAACGTTGTGACCAAATTATTATTATTGAGTGCATTGAGTGACCAAATTATTATTATTATAATTTTTTTTAGATGAGTTTCAAAAGAGGAATTGGGGAGGGAGGGAGAGAGCGAGGTGGAGGGATTTAGGGTGAGAGCAGAGGAAACTGAATGGAATTTCAACTCCCTGTGCATGACTATGTAGATATATATATATAGAGAGAGAGAGAGAGAGAGGGCTCACATTCTTTATTTATGGGATTTACGTTAGGTGGCGAAAGAGAGGAGGAACAGGCTCGATGGGCCGAATGGCCTTCTCCTGTTCCCGTTTACCACCTCACGATTTTTTGTTTCCTTTTCCTGTTGGGTCCGGCTTAGAAAGTGGACATGCACAAGGAGAAGGTGGCTCGGAGAGAGATCGGCAGCTTCACAGCCAGTAAAACCTTGCTGAGGGTTCACAAGATCGTTCCCCCGGCCATCCCCGAGCAACGGGAAAAGTACAGCCGGAAACCCATCGTTTACACCATCCTCGACGATATTGGCCATGGGATGAAGGTGAGAGAATTGTGGACGGCTTGGTTCGGATACTGTCCAAAATAATAATAATTAATAATAATTATAATGATCCTCGCGTTTGATACGACGCCTTATCACGTCTTCGAGACGTCTCAAAGCGCTTCACAGGATACACTGTAAAATATATACTCTGTATGCTCGCTTTTCCTGGGATAATAATTCCTTCCAAAAATGTATATAATCATAATAAATTTGGTCACTCAATCCACGACTGTTTGTGGGACACTGCTATGCGCAATTGACTGCCGTATTTCGCCCAGAACATATACAGTCAATTGGCAAATGCAAGGATTAATATTGTTAATATTTTTACTGTAAACACTAATTATTTAGGCCTCGGCTCTGGCCAACCTTGAGCCCAATACTCTCCGGAATTAGGAAAGCAGGATGCGTCCTTCCGAGGAGGGAGAGAGAGAGAGAGAGAGAGAGAGAGAGAGAGAGCGCGCATTTCATTCCCAACAATCTATCTCTGGGATTTCCGTGTGGGTTCAAGCTAATTCCAGCTAATTCCAGGAAAGCCATACAAAAAAAAATACACGTAATATCATTGACATAGCCATTTCAAGGGTCCAACGGTGTCCTAAATAAGGAACTAGAGAAGGAACTGAGTCCAGCTACTAGACTTGCAAACTCAACACGCTTCATATCAGTCGAGTATACTTCCTGTAGCCGCTGGTGCAACTGTGACTGTTTTTGAGAAAATTCAGAAATGGCTTGACATTTGACACCCAGAGGACAAAATGTCCATCCCCTAAAGGGAAGCTCGAACATAAGAACAGTCGCATCCTTTTATATGTAACGTGGCAGTGTTATTTCTCTGGCTGACCCATCACTGAAGCCTTCTTAGAAACAGAGCGATTTAAACTGTAATAACATCATTATAATAATACTAATAGATAATAATAATAATAAATAATAATATAATAGGAATAATCTTTCTTGATTTGATGTTGATTTGATAGTGCCCTTCACGTCGGGAGGATGTCCCGAAGCGCTGTACGGGATACACAGTAAGGTGCAGTGGTTGTGTGTTTTGTGGGCAGAAATTAAGAGTCAATTTGGGAGTTCTCCTAAATTCTGCCTCGTCTTCAATTTTAAGACGAAGATCTTCAGGCCAGGACCCTGGGGGAATCTCAGGCCTGGAACCTTTATTATGTTCACACAAATGAGACCAACCTTTTGACAACAAGAACAACTTGCAATTTATACACCGCGCCTTCATGTAGGGTCCCAGAGCGCTGATAGTAGTTAAGTTGAAGACGTGCAAACCACCAGATATTTGTACGTTGAGACTCTTTCCTCTGAATTCCGGGCTATTGTATTTTATTCCGTTTTGCTTTGCTTTTTTAGGAAACTAACCACCAGCTCTCGAGATCAAGGACTATGTCACAGAGACATGGGCACCCAAGTGTGCCAACTAGTCCCACCGTGCCAGCGCAGGGCACTCTAGGGTAGGTGCACCATAATAGTCGTTTGCCAAGGAAAGAAGCTTTGGGGAGAGAGAGAGAGAGAGAGAGAGAGAGAGAGAGAGATGTGGGAACGGAAACAAATATACGATAATGACTGGAGAAGGATCTAAAAGGGAATTTAAGAGGAACTACTTCACGTGAGATTGGACAACTCGCTGCCTGAAGCTGTAGTTGAATGAGACAGCCAGGCCTTCACGTGAAGGAAAGGGGAACAGAAGGAGTTGGGGAGAGGGGAAGGAGGGAGTAAGGAGTGAAAAATTGAGTGGAGTATAAACACCGTCGAGCACTGGTTGAGCCGAGTGGCCTGTTTCCACGTTGTAAATTCTTTCTAAGTCTCTGAGAAAGTGTGCGAGGGGGAAGTTGGAAGGATTTAAGAGTGAGATGGATCGATAGATACTTGGTGAGATCCTCCCATCACAGCATTCCCCCATGCGGGCTTCAACCACGCTTCTCAACGACCTGCTCCAGTCGTTAACTCCCTTCTGGGTAAAGAAGTGCTTCCCGGTTTCTGTCCCAAAACCAACCCTTTGCAACCCTGAACGGCGCCCCTTTCTATAATTCTGCGCTCTCGCTGGTTGCCGCGTCAGATTCCCCCGCCCACGTGGCTCTTTTTTGTTCACTTGAGAACCTTGGCGGTGTGCATCTACGCTCACAGCCAGCAGAGGCAGCTATAGAGGGACCAGGAGCAGGAACCCTAACAAGTTTCCCCCTCCCTAACCATCACCACCGACAACAACACGCACTTATACAACACCCTCCGCATAGGGCAGAGTCTCAGAGCGTAGGGCAAACTCAGTACAGACCGGGAATCGAACCGGCGAGGTCCTGAACGGCCACCGCCTTCCTCCCCATCTTTCTTCATTCTTAACCCAAACTCGGAATTGTTCAAGACCCACCCCCCCACCCCCACCTTCTCTGTAATTTTCAGGCGGAACTTCAGAACATCGGGTCCAGTCCAACCTCCTGTTGTGCCCAGTGGATACAGCAGCCCTGTGACAAGTGCCATTGACCCTCCTCCGCTGTTCAGGTACGTTACGTGTTGGGAAACGTTTCATTGACCCAGGGGCAACCTCGACTCGGAGTCAGAAGATTGTGGGTTCAAGCCCCCAAACGGCGGGACTTTCAATTTGCATCCTGACACTCCTGGGGGGGTGGGGGGGAGGGGGGAGGGGGGTGGGGGGGTGGTTTGTGGAGGGGGAAGTGCTGCATTGTTTGGAGGAGCCGTCCTTCAGATGGTCGTGTCCGCTTGCCAAGGTGGACACTGAAGATCCGATGGTGCTATCTGATAAAAGGAGGGAGTTGCTCTCTCTCCCAGAGTCCTGGCCGACAATCCGCCAGATAAAGTCGGTCGCTCGTTTGGTGGCCTTTCTGGTGGGACGTTGCTGTGTGTCTCGCTTGCCAACAACTCGCACAGTAACTGCACTTTGTAGCGATTACCTGTGAAGCGCTTCGAGACCTCCTCCCGCCGTGAAAGGCGCGGTGTCAATTAATAATAATAATAATAATAACGACAACGATCCTTGCCTTTGAATAGGGACTTATCATTGATGTTTAGACGTCTCAAGGCGCTTCACAGAATATACTGTAACGTGGGAATGACTGTGTATTTTGTGGGCGAAACGCGATGGCAACAGCGCCATTCCCTGCCCCCTCAAACCGCTGGGGTTCGATTATTTAAACACGGGGGTCGCTATTGTTATTTTCAAAGCAACAAAGGTTTAACGTAAAACCACTGTATTAAGTTCCACTGACTTCTCTTGTGTTTTTTCTCGGTTGCCTGTTTAGGAGCAACGATACCGGTGGGAGTAACATGTTTGGCTCCACGCCCCTACCTCCTCCTCCACCGCTCCCGACGCATCAGCCAGGTCAGTCTTACCTCTCAGGGACCCACCGTCAGTCTCATAGAATCCCATTGACACGCTATGGGGCTGACCACACACACGGCTTCACCACAGGTTGGTCTGCGTCCCGTCCCGTCTGCGCCTGTCCAGGTGGACGTTAAAGATAAGATCCCGCGGAGCTATTCGAAAAGAAAAGAAAAGTTTTTTTTTCTCTCTCCCCGCCCGTCCTGGCCGACAAACCCTCAAATAATATTGGTCACTTGTTTCGTGGCCGTTTGGGGGGAGATTGTCTACGCGCGAAATTTGTCTGTCGTTCAACTGCAAAACACAGAGTCACTGCACTTTACGGCAAATCCCGTGAAGCGCTTTGAGACGTCCTCCCGATTTACCGTAAAGCGAAAGGCGCTGTGTGAAACGCTGAGGGTGAAGGGTTTTGTAAGGAGAGTTTACTCGGTGTGATTGATACTTTGTTCCCTCCTGACAGATGGAGACGGATTACCAGATCCTCTGCCCCCTGCCCCGATGCCTCCCCCTCCCCCTCCTCCTCCTCCCACCCCTCAGCTTCCCAGCGACGACCTCCCCCCACCTCCTCCCCAGTTCTCCGACTCTCTCCTCCCTCCTCCTCCGCCAATGCCTCCGTCGGATGTCCTTTCATCAGGTGAGGTGCTGCCTGACTTACGACTCTGTTCCCATTCAGCCTAAGGAAGTCCCTTTAATTTACGTCCGCTTTACAGTACATCTTGTGAAAGGCTTTGAGACGCCCCGATGACCTGACAAGGCGCTGTGTCAAATGCGAGGATTATTTATTATTCTTCTTAGACCACAAAAAAAGTCTTATAAATTAAATTTCACCCCATTAAACCAGCTCCTGTTAACCCAGCAAAACAACGCCCTAATGGGTAGGGTGTTCCGAGCTGGATAAGCAGTGAGAAACTTGCCAGTGGTGATATTGCCAAATTATATCGTTTTAACCTGTTTGAGCTGAGCCAGTTAACCTCTTCCTAACCCCAGACGCGCGCCGGAATCCACCAAGCCTTGACTCTCGCCAACCTTTGGCTTTCGGTAAGCAGGGCAAGACCCTCTGGGAAGAGAGTGCAGACTCCATTACTCCGTCCCAGACACAGGAGGAAACTTCTGTGTGTAGTTTCGCCCACAAAACACACAGTCGTTGCATTTGTAATGTATTTTCAGCGCCTTGGGACTTCCTCCCGAATTAGAAGGTACCATAAAAATGCAACGTTGTTGTTGTTGTTGCACTGTGAAGCGCTTTGAGACGTCTCAACTGTTACTGGGATTACGTGTGGAGCCCTCAGTCGGTTTCGGATACCCTTAGGCTCAGCGGTGGATTTCGTGCCATACCGGATCCCGACATTGAACGATGGGCGGACGATCTTATACTTTGTGATATTTCAGCCGTAAAACCCAGGACCCACACGGGTTGTAACGCTGTATCGCAGCCGTGTGTTCAGAGACATCAGTTATTTGCCGGACGGACCTGATCTCTTCCTGTGCTTTTTTTTTTGTGTGCCGTGCGTCACAGCGAGCTCTGCGGCTAGCTTTCCCTGCCATTTCCTGCGACGCTGCCACCGTGTCATGGGCTCGCTTGCCTTACTGCAACCGCAGGCAAATAATGCTTGGCTGTCCTGTCACTCCGCAAGTAAGACACCGCCCTGGGGGGGCTGATCATTCGAGTTACACTTTTTATAATTCACGTCCGATTTTGTGTGCTCTGCCATTCACAGCTGCTTTTGTGTGTGTCTCTCTCTACCCATCTCCTTAGTTTGCCCCCCAGTGCCCATCCTCCCCCCTCTATTGCCATTTACTCCACAGATCCCCCTGACTGGTTTCGTCGCCCGCTTTCAGGAAAGCAGTAAGTTCGCCTCTCTCGCCCGCGCGCGCTGAGTTGGACAAGTTGGAGTCCTGTAGCTCAGTGGTTAGAGCACTCGCCTCGCAAGTGAGAGACCCGGCTTCGATTCCCGAGTGGGCAGTGCAAAACATTGGGCAAATTTCCTTACTCCACACACACACACACACACACACACACACACGCACACACGCACACACCCCGCTGTTTGCTCTGCAGTAAGTAGGAACCACGGTTGTTAGTCGATTGTCAGTTCCCTTTCCGGGAGTAAAAATCCGTTCCAAACAAATGAGTAAATGAATAACTAAAAGAATTAGGTCACTACAACTGTTTGTGGGATACTATTGTGTGCGATTGGCTGCTAAAATTTAACAAGTCAATCCACTTAACGATATGTTCTGTGAAGCTCTTTGATACGTCTGAACGACGTGATAAGGTGCTCTATCGAATACAAGGATTATTATTATTATTATTATTATATTCTTGGATCATCCAGATCCCTGCTACTCCATCTAAAAGCAACGCGGAAAGCCGTAGCAATGTTGGCAATGTGGGCTGCCACTTTTTAGCTTTCCGAGTTTATTTTCCTCGGTTCATCCTAATCCCAATTCGATACTCCCTGATTCCCTCTCTTCTACGTGTGCTTGTGTACTGGGACAATCCCACTGCTCTAACAGCTTTTTCCTCCCTGGAGGAAATGGCAGATTACGCTATTGGCTGGCTTATCGCATGTAGGTAACAGGCTCCGTCCTGAATGTCACTGATAAAAGAATACAGGTGTGTCGAAATAAAATTGGTCGCAAACTTCATGGCTGTTCGCGAGGCGTTGCCGTGTGCAAAATCGGCTGCTGGGGCGGCCTCTGAGAGAAATGCACAGTCACTGCACTTCGTAGCATATCCTGCGAAGCGATTCGAGGCACGCTCCCGACACGAGAGGCGATGTGTCAAAAACGTCGGAGGTATTTAGCGAACCTAAGTCGTCCCGATGGTTTTGTTTTTGTGATCGTTCCTCGCGGTGGAGTTCCATCGGGTGAATCGCTCAGTAACGCACTTCCTTCACCGCTCTTTCAGTCACCGATTGTCCACCTCCGCCGCCTCCTTGCGATTACATGCCTGATATCGACGATTGTGCCCCTCCACCCCCACCGCCTGTGGACTATACAGACGAGACCCCAAACTCTCCGACGGACTACATTGAGAAAGGTAGCGAGTTTCAGTTTGGTTTTGAGCAGCTTGGTGGGGGGCACGGGCAATAGTGTCACTTCTTGTACTTTTTTTATGCTGCATTGCCTCGAGGAAATTCACTGCCACATCCGCCTACAAAAGCACAGTCACTGCTCTTCACAGTGAGCGTGTTGAGACAAGAACAATTAACAGTGAGGCGAGTATTGTTCAAATAGTCAAATTTCTGAACAGGTGAGATAATTGTAATGAAATTTGCCAAGTTGCCCTGAGGCCTAAGACAAACTCGTTTGCTGTTTTGTGCAGCGAGAGAGTTTTTAGGTCGTGGAAGGTCCTCAAGCTCTACTTTGTCTTAGCTTGACAAATTTTCACATGTTTTGCCTGAACATTTTCAGATCGTGAACGATTGCGGGGGGAAAAAAAATCCTGAACTCTCAAGACAAAATGGTGTCGGCGAGCTAAGACTAGGCGGAATTTCAGACTGCCGACAAATACAGGGTTACTATGTTTTACTGCAGAATATTGTGAGGTGCTTTGAGAAGCCTTAGCATAAAAAAACTCCATCCTTTCCCATTTCCCCCTCCCCTGATCGCCTATACTTTCTATCGGACAATTACCTTTCTTTTTCTCTCTCTCTCTCTCTTTCAGTCATCGCCATCTATACATACAACAAAAGCAAAGATGATGAGCTGAGTTTTCAGGAAGGGGACGTGATCTACGTGACTGCTAAGAATGAGGACGGGTGGTACAAGGGGTTCAGCGCTGGAGCTTCAGGTTTCTTCCCAGGAAATTACGTGCAGGTGACGGACTGAAGGCAGAACAGCACAGACCAAACGGAAAACGAAAGCAACTGGTGAAATGAATCACTCATAACCATTGGGTTAACACGTTTGCTACGATTTGTGAGCCCCGGTAAAGAGGGGGCTGTTTAATGTCCTGCTTCTTTCCTGCCGGCAGTGTCGGGAAAACTTAAATGTCTAACACTGGTGAAAAGCCTTCGAGATAACTAACTGCTACGGTTTGCTGCATCCATCAACAATTGTATTACGCGTCCAGGGGCTGGGTGTCAGGGGGAATAAGTTATAACATAAGCGACGATTACACAAGGCTCTTCAGGCTTGATGGGAGACAAGTCAGCAAAGCAAAAGGACATGGGTTGGCTTAATAATAATCCTTGCATTTGATATAGCGCTTTTCACGTAGGGAGGACTTCCCAAAGCGCTTCGCAGAACACACTGTAACGTGAATTGACTGTATGTTTGTGGGCGAACGCGGCAGCCAATTGCGCGCAGCAATGTCCCACAAACAGTCGTAGATTGAAAATGACCAATTTATTATTGCTTTGGGTTTTGGAGGGATTATTATTAGGCTCTGTGTGGAGTAAGGAAACTTGCCCAAGGTTTCGCCCTCTGCCTGGAATTGAACTCAGGTCTCTCACTTGCAAAGCGAGTGCTCTAACCACTGAGCTACAGGACTCCAAATACTACTTAGTATTGCAGAGAGCGGTTTCAGGGCAGACACTTGGAACAGGTTACCAGGAACGGGGGAGTTGAGATCGGGACAATGGGACTCGTTCAAAAATACTCATGAATCGTCTTTACTGAAGCAAATGGATTTGTACCCCAGTGCCTTTGCCCGCTATTATATACCCCTGAATGTTGATTTTGCTGACTAATCAATATTTAGATGATTCCCATTGCTCTCCTGGTTACCAGTTGCTCCTCTAAGTTTACTCTCTGTGAAAAGAAATACTTCCTGGTGTCTGTCGCAAAATTGACCTTCACCCCAGTTGTCCTGCGATCCGAACTCACCTGAAAGTATTTTGACAATGCCGAATTGTAAATGTGCTAAGCACCCAGACCTGTGAAATGTACTGTGAATTAAAAAAATAAACTCTCTTACAATCAACATTTTGTCGTTTTATCAGCAATAATTTCATTATAATAAGGATAATTTCATAAAATAATATTATTTGATTGCGGTTTTAGGTACTTGAATACTTTTCGGGATCAGGTAAGCGGGATGTGTCCCTCCAGGTGTGGGGGTGGGGGTGGTTGGGGGGTGTGTAGGGGAGAGAGAAAAAGAGAGAGAGAGAGAGTGAGAGAGTGAGAGCGCATTTCATTCCAACAATCTAACTCTGGGATTTCCATGTGTAGATGGGATGCATGGAATTCTCGGTTTGGTTTGGAGACTCTTAAACAGCAACGGTGCTGGGTTTCCGCATGTGTCAGACACCCGGCTGGCATCCGCCTCCAAAAAAAATGTTTAAGAGCAAAATGTTACCTAAACACCCAGAAACCCAGACAACCACCACCGAGACTTGCCTTTGCATCGCGCTGTTCATGCAGGACAGTGGCTCGGAGTGTTTAGCCAACTGAATGAGACTGTGTGAATCTTCTCTCCAAATCGCGGGTGTGCTGGTGGCAGACAGACTGAAGTCCTCTAAATGTCTGAGAGCGCCTCACAGAGCAAGCGAGGAGGGTAGGGAGGGGAGGCTGCCTCAGGCCTCAAAGTGGTTGATTTATAGATGGAATTATTGATTCACAACTGGAAGGTTGGTCTCGGTATGTGATGTTGAACGGTTAAACCGAGGCAACAGTTCCCACAAATAAAACCGGTCATGATCCCATGCTGCACCTTGAGATGTCTTCCTGATGTGAAAGGTGCCTTATCACGTTGTTGAGACGTCTCGAAAGCTCTTCACAGGATACACTGCAAAGTGAAAGGAAACAGCCAAATCGCGTCCCATCAACAGAGGTGGAGTTTGAGGGATTTATTACCAGAAGTAAGCGATGCACCAATCGACCAATAGCCAATGTCCAATTTACAGCTGCGTAAACAGAGGGCTGTACAGTATGAAAATTTCTCTAAATGTTTCGCCTTGCCCTGCAGTCAAACCCAGGTCCTCTCGCCTTCGAGGTGAGCGCTCTAACCACCTTGCTACGGAATCTGTTACTGAAATTATAGAATTGGCTGCAAATCACAACTCAAGCTAGTAATTAACAAAGTGATTTCAAAACTGTTCCTCAAATAAGTTGTGCGTGAAGTTAGGTGGATTCATATCCGTCTCGTACCTGATATTTGACAAAGGTAAGAACAGCAGAAATTTCCACTTCTGATGAATGATTGCTGGTTCCTCCATTACGGTTACTCTTTGTTACAAATAGGATTGCGGAGGGTATGGGGGTATTAATCTGCAACACGTGACCTACTTTCTGTAGTCTTTCTTGCTTGTTTTTCCATCACTTTGTCTTTCCAAACCTCCTATCATCACTTCAGACTTCTGCTCAAGCTTTGCATTTATTTTGCCATTGTTTCGCTGCCACCAATTCACCTCTGACTTTTCACAGTTATTGCATTCAACCTTTCGATTCTTACCCTCTCCTTTCGAGTTGGGATACTCCTGATACCTCGAAATAACCAACGTGTAATAATCAGGCGCCCACATTTCAGCCTTTATACAATATTTAAGCAGCATATAATAAACATTATATGACTCCGGGAGGGTGGTGCAGAAGGTTGTTTGAACAACTGCTGATAATGGAATAAGTAAGGCCGGGGACCTGGAACAGGCCAATGGCTGTAAAATGAATATAGTTTACGTCATTTTGTTTTGTGTGCTCAACTGCTGAGGGTCAATTAATGAGCAAAAACTTATTTCCGAGAGCTTGTCCCTTTGATTTTTCTGCATCAGACTCAGACAAACTCCCTACACACTAATGCGCTGCTGGAACCTTTCAAAAGACTTCGGAAAGTTACATGAGTTAACTTGTAGAATTGTTATAATTCTTCGGCCATCCTCCTACCCCTACCCTCCCTGCCCTCCAACCCTTCTGATCCCAAACAATCCAGCGCCTTGGGATGTCTCCCAACTTGAAATGTGAAATTACAAATATAAATTTCTATTGTTGTTACGAACCTTACAGATTTGATGTAAAACGTGTTGTTGATTTCTTTTAGGATTGTTCTTTAAAGAGCCCTGAACTCAACCGAACAGAAGAGACAATCACTGAACAAGAAAAATGAAGGAGTCAAACATTTTCAGTACGAAGCTATACCTCGGAGTTGTGTTGGTCTCAGTGACTTTACTCACCATCGCATATTATTTAATGCCATTTCCTTCACTGACCATAACTAAAGGTCAAATTTCAGAAAATTCCCAAAATATGTATTTGTCCGTCACAGAGACAAACAAGAAAATTAAAACACATCAAGGGACAAACTCTGTTATCGCATCCAAAGGCTTTTGGACAATTAATTCCATAGGGCGTCTGGGCAATCAAATGGGGGAGTATGCCACATTGTACGCATTGGCCAAATTGAATGGCAAACAAGGCTACATTCCCCAGTCCATGGCCAATTACCTGTCTCCCATCTTCAGAATTAACCTTCCCACCCTCCATGAGAGTATGTGGAAGAGATTACACTGGAAGAACTATCACCTGAATGACTGGATGGAGGATAGATACCGACACATCCCTGGAGACTATGTTAAACTCACAGGGTATCCCTGTTCCTGGACCTTCTACCATCACATCCGAGAGGAAATCCTCCGTGAGTTCACCTTCCATGACTATCTAATTGACGAGGCCAACACGTTCCTGAGAAGCATCAGCAAAGGGCAAGATAAAGTGACCTATGTTGCTGTCCATGTACGAAGAGGAGATTATGTGCATACTATGCCAAACATTTGGAAGGGAGTTGTGGCTGATAAAGGCTATTTAGAAAAAGCAATGTCTTACTTCAGGAAGAAGTACAGCAACGTGGTGTTTGTGGTGACAAGTGAAGGAATGGATTGGTGCAAGGACAACATAGATGCCTCCAAAGGAGACGTTCACTTCTCAGGAGATGGACAGTCAGGCAGTCCAGCCAGAGACTTCTCCCTCCTCGCTCACTGCAATCACACTATCATGACAATCGGGACCTTTGGTATCTGGGCTGCCTACCTCGCTGGCGGGGAGACTATCTACCTCTCTAACTACACTTTACCCGATTCACCCTTTTTAAAGCTCTTTAAATATGAGGCAGCTTTCTTACCCGAGTGGATAGGGATTCCCGCTGACCTCTCACCTGTTCTGCCCAAGAAACCTTGAGCTAATCACCGCTTGATCATCTTTAGCACTTCTGATGACATGGTTAGACGTTGTATTCAACACAGGGATTTCACTCCAAACAAAAGGACAAGACATCTTTACCAAATGAAGACTAAATTGAGGAAATGTGAGCAAATCAAGACAAAATGGTCTGAGCGGGTTGCAGACTTGAAGCACTCCGAGACAAAGGGGAGCAAAATTAATCACTTAACCGTTCAAGTGAACAATTTTAGCTTTAATTTGTAAACTCCGTTAAAGAGGGGCATTTAATCTTCAGCAAATATTGTAGGAAAAGCTTATATATGTAACACTGGTGAAAATGCCTGATATCTTCGAATCAGTGATTTATAAAAGCTCAGAAGGAGACCATTTGGTCCATCGTGTCTCTGCCAGCTCTTTCAAAAGAGCTATCCAATTCAATCCCACTTCCCCGCGCTCTCCCCTTAACCCTGCAAACTTGTCCTCCCCATGTAAAGTAATAATAGTAATAACAATAATAATCTTCGCATTTGATATAACGCCGTATCACGTCGTTGAGACGTCTTAAAAGTGCTTCACAGGATACCCTGAAGTGAATTAACTGTATAGTTATAGACAGAATGCAGTAGCCAATTGCTCACAGCAGTGTCCCACAAACAGTGACCAAATTATTAATATTTTAAAAAATATACATATTTTGGAAGGTATTACTAAATCATTATCCTTTATAATTGATAAGGAATAATTTACAACTAGCGATGATTACCTAAGATTAACTAAGCCTTGATGGGAGACATCCCAGATGGGTCTTATTGAGGTAGATGGGATTCTGAAGGGAATTGGGGAAGTAAAGCTGGAAACAAATATTTCTGTTAACTTTACTGTGAATCGAAAAAATAAACTTTCTTACAATCAATATTTTGCGTTTTATCAGCAACAATTTCATTATAATACTAATTTTATAACAATAATATCATTTGATTGTGGTCTTAGGTACTTAAATACTTTCCGGGATCAGGTAAGCGGGATGTGTCCTTCCAGGTTGGGTTGGGAGGGGTGGGGGGTGTGGGGCGGGGGATGTGGGTGGCGGGGATTATGGTGGGGTGTATGGGAGAGAGAGAGAGAGAGAGAGAGAGTGAGAGAGTGAGAGCGCATTTCATTCCAACAATCTAACGCTGGGATTTCCATGTGTAGATGGGATGTATGGAATTCTCGGTTTGGTTTGGAGACTCTTAAACAGCAACGGTGCTGGGTTTCCGCATGTGTCAGACACCCGGCTGAACGCCCCCTGCCCCCAAAAATGTTTAAAAGCAAAATGCTGCCTAAACACCCAGAAACCCAGACAACCACCACCGAGACTTGCCTTTGCATCGCGCTGTTCATGCAGGACAGTGGCTCGGAGTGTTTAGCCAACTGAATGAGACTGTGTGAATCTTCTCTCCAAATCGCGGGTGTGCTGGTGGCAGACAGACTGAAGTCCTCTCAATGTCTGAGAGCGCCTCACAGAGCAAGCGAGGAGGGTAGGGAGTGGAGGCTGCCTCAGGCCTCAAAGTGGTTGATTTATCGATGGAATTATTGATTCACAACTGGAAGGTTGGTCTCGGGATGAGACGTTGAACCATTAAACCGAGGCAACAGTTTCCCAAATAAAATAGGTCATGATGCTGTGCTGCACCTTGAGATGTCTTCCTGATGTGAAAGGTGCCTTATCACGTTGTTGAGACGTCTCGAAAGCTCTTCACAGGATACACTGCAAAGTGAAAGGAAACAGCCAAATCACGTCCCATCAACAGAGGTGGAGTTTGAGGGATTTATTATCAGCAGTAAGCGATGCACCAATCGACCAATAGCCAATGTCCCATTTATAGTTGCGTAAACAGAGAGCTGTACTGTAAGGAAGTTTCTCTAAATGTTTCGCCTTGCCCTGCAGTCAAACCCAGGTCCTCTCGCCTTCGAGGTGAGCGCTCTAACCACCTTGCTACGGAATCTGTTACTGAAATTATAGAATTGGCTGCAAATCACAACTCAAGCTAGTAATTAACAAAGTGATTTCAAAACTGTTCCTCAAATAAGTTGTGCGTGAAGTTAGGTGGATTCATATCCGTCTCGTACCTGATATTTGACAAAGGTAAGAACAGCAGAAATTTCCACTTCTGATGAATGATTGCTGGTTCCTCCATTACAGTTACTCTTTGTTACAAATAAGATTGCGGAGGGTATGGGGGTATTAATCTGCAACACGTGACCTACTTTCTATAGTCTTTCTTGCTCGTTTTTCCATCACTTTGTCTTTCCAAACCTCCTATCATCACTTCAGACTTCTGCTCAAGCTTTGCATTTATTTTGCCATTGTTTCGCTGCCACCAATTCACCTCTGACTTTTCACAGTACTTGCATTCAACCTTTCGATTCTTACCCTCTCCTTTCGAGTTGGGATACTCCTGATACCTCGAAATAACCAACGTGTAATAATCAGGCGTCCACATTTCAGCCTTTATACAATATTTAAGCAGCATATAATAAACATTATATGACTCCGGGAGGGTGGTGCAGAAAGGTTGTTTGAACGACTGCTGATAATGGAATAAGTAAGGCCGGGGACCTGGAACAGGCCAATGGCTGTAAAATGAATATAGTTTACGTCATTTTGTTTTGTGTGCTCAACTGCTGAGGGTCAATTAATGAGCAAAAACTTATTTCCGAGAGCTTGTCCCTTTGATTTTTCTGCATCAGACTCAGACAAACTCCCTACACACTAATGCGCTGCTGGAACCTTTCAAAAGACTTCGGAAAGTTACATGAGTTAACTTGTAGAATTGTTATAATTCTTCGGTCACCCTCCTACCCCGACACTCCCTGCCCTCCAACCCTTCTGAACCCAACTCCATGGGATGTCCTCCCGACTTGTAATGTGAAATTACAAATGTAAATTTCTATTGTTGTTACGAACCTTACAGTGGATTTGATGTAAAACGTGTTGTTGATTTCTTTTAGGATTGTTCTTTAAAGAGCCCTGAACTCAACTGAACAGAAGAGACAATCACTGAACAAGAAAATGAAGCAGTCAAACGTTTTCAATAAGCAGGTATACCTCGGAGTTGTGTTGTTCGCAGTGATTTTACTCACCATCGCGTATTATTTAATGCCATTTCCTTCACTGACCATAACTAAAGGTCAAATTTCAGAAAATTCCCAAAATATGTATTTGTCCGTCACAGAGACAAACAAGAAAATTAAAACACATCAAGGGACAAACTCTGTTATCGCATCCAAAGGCTTTTGGACAATTAATTCCATAGGGCGTCTGGGCAATCAAATGGGGGAGTATGCCACATTGTACGCATTGGCCAAATTGAATGGCAAACAAGGCTACATTCCCCAGTCCATGGCCAATTACCTGTCTCCCATCTTCAGAATTAACCTTCCCACCCTCCATGAGAGTATGTGGAAGAGATTACACTGGAAGAACTATCACCTGAATGACTGGATGGAGGATAGATACCGACACATCCCTGGAGACTATGTTAAACTCACAGGGTATCCCTGTTCCTGGACCTTCTACCATCACATCCGAGAGGAAATCCTCCGTGAGTTCACCTTCCATGACTATCTAATTGACGAGGCCAACACGTTCCTGAGAAGCATCAGCAAAGGGCAAGATAAAGTGACCTATGTTGCTGTCCATGTACGAAGAGGAGATTATGTGCATACTATGCCAAACATTTGGAAGGGAGTTGTGGCTGATAAAGGCTATTTAGAAAAAGCAATGTCTTACTTCAGGAAGAAGTACAGCAACGTGGTGTTTGTGGTGACAAGTGAAGGAATGGATTGGTGCAAGGACAACATAGATGCCTCCAAAGGAGACGTTCACTTCTCAGGAGATGGACAGTCAGGCAGTCCAGCCAGAGACTTCTCCCTCCTCGCTCACTGCAATCACACTATCATGACAATCGGGACCTTTGGTATCTGGGCTGCCTACCTCGCTGGCGGGGAGACTATCTATCTCTCAAACTACACTTTACCCGAATCACCCTTTTTAAAGCTCTTTAAATATGAGGCAGCTTTCTTACCCGAGTGGATAGGGATTCCCGCTGACCTCTCACCTGTTCTGCCCAAGAAACCTTGAGCTAATCACCGCTTGATCATCTTTAGCACTTCTGATGACATGGTTAGACGTTGTATTCAACACAGGGATTTCACTCCAAACAAAAGGACAAGACATCTTTACCAAATGAAGACTAAATTGAGGAAATGTGAGCAAATCAAGACAAAATGGTCTGAGCGGGTTGCAGACTTGAAGCACTCCGAGACAAAGGGGAGCAAAATTAATCACTTAACCGTTCAAGTGAACAATTTTAGCTTTAATTTGTAAACTCCGTTAAAGAGGGGCATTTAATCTTCAGCAAATATTGTAGGAAAAGCTTATATATGTAACACTGGTGAAAATGCCTGATATCTTCGAATCAGTGATTTATAAAAGCTCAGAAGGAGACCATTTGGTCCATCGTGTCTCTGCCAGCTCTTTTAAAAGAGCTATCCAATTCAATCCCACTTCCCCGCGCTCTCCCCTTAACCCTGCAAACTTGTCCTCCCCATGTAAAGTAATAATAGTAATAACAATAATAATCTTCGCATTTGATATAACGCCGTATCACGTCGTTGAGACGTCTCAAAGTGCTTCACAGGATACCCTGAAGTGAATTAACTGTATATTTCGTGAGGAGAATGCAGAAGCCAATTGCGCACAGCAGTGTCCCACAAACAGTCGTGGACTGACTGACCAAATTATTAATATTTTAAAAAATATATATATTTTGGAAGGTATTATTAAATTATTATCCTTTATAATTGATAAGGAATAAGTTACAACTCGCGATACTTACTTAAGATTAACTAAGCCTTGATGGGAGGCATCCCAGATGCGTCTTATTGAGGTAGATGAGATTCTAAATAGGATTGAGGAAGTAAAGCTGGAAAAAAATAATTCATCAGTGAGTCAGCAGAGCAAGCGGACACGGATTCAACATTGCCAAGGGTAGTTTCAAAACAATAACTAGTAATAGGTTAGCAGGATGGCGGGAGGATTTCAAAACAATGGGACACATTAAAAAAGACCCAGAAATCGCCTATACTGAGATAAATGGAGTTCTTACCCAGTTTAGTTGCTGATTTATTATATACCCCGGAATATTAATTTCACTGTACCCACAAATGATCACAAGAGAGATACAAATGAAGATTTTCATTCAGGGGAACTGGTGGGACACCCCAGGCTAAATTCCTCACAATGTGTCAGAATGCTTCACAGAGCTTTTCCAGGAAAATGGAGAGCGGAAGTGACCTTAGGACTTGAAATAGTTGGTTCATAGGTCAGATTAGTAACTAACGACTTGATAGTAGTAAGACATTAAATTGCTATATCCTGTCAACAAGCCCTCAAGTAAAATTGCTCATTTGTCTTATGTCTGTTGGTCAGACTTAGTGTGTGCAACTTGTCTGGTCCATTCTCCCGCAAAGCAAACAATCACATACACAATACATACTGCGAAGATCTTTGAGACGTCCTCCTGATGTGAAAGGCATGGAATAAATCAAATGTAGGTATTATTTTTATTGCTGTCAATATAGAATTGGCTGCAATTCAAAACTCACGCCAATAATTGATGAAATCGACTTCAAAACTACTCGACTTTCTAAGCTCTTTGCAAACAGAGGGTATTCGCACATCCGTCTCATCACTGTCCCTGTTGACTAGCTGTATCCGGCTGACTGCTCCAGGTAGCTGTCCTTGCGAGAGAGATGGAATTGTTCTTGGATACTTCTCCCAAGGTATGAGCAGCTGTACCTTCCACTTCTGATTAAAAATTATCATTTCCTCTATCAGATGCAATGTATACTTTTTTTCAAATGGAATGCTACCAAGCCTTGCAATTGATTTAATGCCTTATCCTGTCATTGAGAACTCTCAAAGCACTTCACAGAATATACTGTGAAGTGAATTGACTGTATATTGTGTAGGCAAAATGCAGCAGTCAATTGCGCACAGCAGCGTCCTGTCAATTATCTGGTAGGATGGTTAATGAAGGTTATTGTGGATTAGATGGCAAATATGTTGCTTGCATTATTTCAGTTTTTTTTAAAGAGACCTGAACTGGACTGAAGGGACGATCACTGGAGATTACGTCAACAAGAGTCTTTGGAAATGAAGGAGTCAAATATTTTCAGTAAGAAACTGTACTTTGGAGTCATGTTTTTCACAGTAATTTTACTCTCCATAGCATATTCTTTCATGCCATTTCCTTCATTGACCATTATTAAGTGGAACAAAGTGGATTTGTCCGTCGAGGGGACAAGCAAGACAACTAGAGCACTTCAAGTGCCAAAGCCTGTTATCGCTTCCAAAGGCTTTTGGACAATTAATTCCAAAGGGCGTTTGGGCAATCAAATGGGGGAGTATGCCACATTGTACGCATTGGCCAAATTGAATGGCAAACAAGCCTACATTCCCCAGGCCATGGCCAATTACCTGTCTCCCATCTTCAGAATTAACCTTCCCACCCTCCATGAGAGTATGCGGAATAAAGTACATTGGAAGAACTATCATCTGAATGACTGGATGGAGCAGAGATACTGTTATGTCCCTGGAGACTATGTTAAACTCACAGGGTATCCCTGTTCCTGGACCTTCTACCACCACATCCGAGAGGAAATCCTCCGTGAGTTCACCTTCCATGATTATATCATTAAGGAGGCCAACAAGTTCCTGAGAAGCATCAGCAAAGGGAAAGCCAATGTGACCTATGTTGCTGTCCACGTACGAAGAGGAGACTATGTGCGCATCATGTCAAAAACTTGGAAGTTGGGAGTTGTGGCTGATAAAGGATATTTGGAAAAAGCAATGTCTTACTTCAGGAAGAAGTACAGCAACGTGGTGTTTGTGGTGACAAGTGAAGGAATGGATTGGTGCAAGGACAACATAGATGCTTCCAAAGGAGACGTTCACTTCTCAGGAGATGGACAGTCAGCAGTCCAGCCAGAGACTTCTCCCTCCTCGCTCACTGCAATCACACTATCATGACAATCGGGACCTTTGGTATCTGGGCTGCCTACCTCGCTGGCGGGGAGACTATCTACCTCTCTAACTACACTTTACCCGATTCACCCTTTTTAAAAGTCTTTAAATATGAGGCAGCTTTCTTACCTGAGTGGATAGGGATTCCCGCTGACCTCTCACCTGTTCTGCCCAAGAAATAAATTGTTAAATTGACAAGATCGGAAAACTGCGAACGATGATTTTCTACAGCTCTTAAACTCCAAATCAAGACCCAAATGAAATTTGCCTAATTCTGCAAAATCAAGACAAAACGGTGTGAGCAGTTAAGACTTGTTGGTATTTTGAGCCTCAGATATTAATAGTAGTAATAATCATAATAATAATCATTGTATGTGATCTAGCGGGTTATCAGGTCTTCGAAATGTCTCAAAGCGCTTCTCAGGATTTACTGTAAAGTTGAAAATAACAAATATACGGATGTAATTTCTTTTTAAGCCCTGACCTATAATCAGCCAGCAAAATCATTAAAGATTCAGGGTGAAATACGTTGGTCTCTCTTGTAGCATTTCCTGCTTCCGTTTGTGGAAGTATCACTCAGACTTCCTCTCTGTGCAATGGGCTAACTCCAACCTGTTTGTTTTAAATGCTACCGTTTCACAAGGGGATTACAACAATTAGCAAACGGGTCGAGAGAAGCGGAGGGAAGTGGTTGGGCCTGGTATGGCTTCTTCAACCCTCTTGTGATATGCTGACTGCTCATCAAGTTAGCGGGTTTCAGCACCAACTTGAATTCAAACAATACCCGGAAACCAGTGTTTCGTTATAGGAAACTATGTGGCACTGATCGCAACTCGTGTGGATTTATTCCCGATTGTTCTTGAACCAAACAGGTAAGTCGGAAACTCTTAAATTGCAGAGACGGGGTTTGGGGGAAAATATGCTTTCACTATCGACTTAAATCGTCACCAGAAGAAATCATATTCAATCGGATTTTCATTTGAGTGAAATTGTCAGCTTCAACGGGGTCAAGGGATCTGTTTTGTGTTTTTTGTTTCACTTATCTTGCAATTATTCCCCAAACTCCTTTCTCCTGTATTTTCTTCCCATTTTCTTTGCCAGTTTCTTTGAACTATGGACCAGTTAGTCTGACATCGGTGGTGGGGAAAATTCTAAAGTCCTTAATTAGGGATGTCATCGTGCGGTACTTAAAAANTCATAAAATGTTTAGGCAGAGTCAACATGACTTTACGAAAGAGAAATCATGTTTAACAAATCTTATAGAGTTTTTTGAGGATGTAACTGGCACGTTAGATAGGGGGTAACCGGTAGATGTGGTGTATTTGGATTTCCAGAAGCCATTTAACAAGGTGCCACATAAAAAGCTGTTGCATAAGATTAGAGCCCATGGAATTAAAGATAATATATCAGCATAGATTGGAGATTGGCCTCCAGGAAGAAAACAGAGAGTAGGGATAAGCGGATCCTTCTGAGAATGGCAACAACAACAACAAGATTCCATTTATAGAGCGCCTTTCACCTCGGGAGGACGTCCCAAGGCGCTGTACAGTTGGGTCAGGACCCGAGCCTTGGGGGGAAATGGTCAGGGTGAGGGGAGGGAAGGGAGGGAGCGAGGAGGGGGTAGAGAGTCGAGAGGGGAGCTGAAGGCTGAAGGTCAAAGAGAAAGGTCTTGAGACCGGCCTTGAAGGAGGAAAGAGAGGAGGCGGCGAAGGCACTAGGGGATAGAGCTTCAGAGCCTCGGGGTTGAGAGGCTGAAGGCGCGGCCACCGATGGTAGGGTGGTTGGGGCGGGGGATGTGGAGCAGACCGGAGCCAGAGGAATGGAGGGTACAGGCAGGTAAGTAGGGGGATAGTAGGTCGGAGAGGTAGGAGGGAGCAAGGCCGTGAATGGCCTTGTAGGTGAGGATGAGGATCTTGAATTTGATCCTCTGGGGGATGTCGAGCCAGTGGAGGCGAGCGAGGGTGGTAGTGATGTGGTCCCAAAGCCTGGTGCGGGACAGTACATGAGCTGCAGAGTTCTGAATGACCTGCAGTGTGGAGGGAGGGCCGGGAAGGCCGACGAGGAGAGAGTTCCCATAGTCCAGCCTTGAGGTGATAAAGGCGTGGACCAGAGTTTCAGCCGCGTGAGGGGTGAGGTAGTGCCGTAGTCTGGCGATATTCCGGAGGTGATGGAAGGCGGTGCCAGTTGTGGCGCAGATATGAGGGAGAAAGGACAGCTCAGGGTCGAACAAAACACCAAGGTTCCTGATGGCTTTGAGAGGAGAGTGTAGCCTTGGATGCTGATGCTATCAGCGCCTGAGGTGCGGAGGCGCTGACGTGAGCCAATCAGGAGGGCCTCAGTTTTGCGCACGTTGAGCTGAAGAAAGTTGTCTCTCGTCCAGGACTCGATGTCGGACAAACAGCTGTCAGGACATCGGTGGTCGTGGAGTTGAGGGTAGAGGAGGAAAGGTAGAGTGGGTGTCATTAACATACATGTGGAAGTTAACCCCATGTCTGTGGATGATGTCACCACAGGGGGAGCATATAGAGGGTGAAGAGGAGGGGACCGAAGACAGAGCCCTGAGGGACACCGCACGAGACAGTGCGGGGGCCGGAGGAAAAGCCATTCGTGGAAACAAAGTGAAGACGGTGGGAGAGGTACGACCTAAACCACTCAAGGACAGGGCCTTGAAGGTTGAGGTGGGAGGACAAGCGGTGGAGGAAGATAGCGTGGTCGACCGTATCGAATGCTGCCGATAGGTCGAGGAAGACGAGGAGGCAGAGGGAGCCCTGGTCACAGATGGTCAGGATGTCATTGGTGACCTTGACCAGGGCAGTTTCTGTGCAATGTGCAGCACGGAAACCCGACTGAAGGGGTTCGAATAATGAATGGGTAGAGAGGAAAGAGAGCAGCTGGGAGGTGACAACTCGTTCCAGGACCTTGGACAGGAAGGGGAGGTTGGAGAGAGGTTAACCTGATAGCTGCGACGCATCAAGGGAGGGCTTTTTCAAGGTGGGAGTGATGGTGGCAGTTTTTAAGGGAATGGGGACAGAGCCAGAGGAGAGGGCCTGGTTGGCGATGTCTGTGATATGTGGGACAAGGAGGTGGAGCTGAGAGATAAGGAGTGGAGTGGCGATGGGGTCAAGGGAGCAAGTGGTGGGTTTCAGGGATAGGATGAGTTTGGTGACAGAGGGTGGGGAAACGGGTACGAAAGTGTGTAGGGAAGGATGGGTATGAGTCGGATTGTGGGAGGGAGGGGGTGGGGGGGTGGGTGGATGTTGGAGCGGAAGTGACCGCGGAGCGAATTCCCTTGATTTTGGATTCAAGGAAATCCAGCATCTCCTTGCAGTGAAGGTTGGAGGAGATGACCTGCGCGGGGTGGCGGGGGGGACGGAGGAGTCGGGATGTGGTAGAAAACAGTAGCCTGGCAGAATGTGACTAGTGGAGTACCAGAAGGCTCAGTGCTTGGGCCTTAGCTATTTACAGTCTATGTCAATGATTTAGATGAGGAAATAGAATTTAACATATCTAAATTTGTGGACGATACGAAGATAGGTGAGAGAGTAAACTGTGAGGATGACACACAAATGCAAAGGAAATAGACAGGCTAGGTGAGTGGGCAAGAAGGTGGAGTATGATGTGGGGAACTGTGAAGTTACTTACCTAGATAGTAAAAATAGAATTATTTTCCAGAGGGGGCGAGACTGGGTAGTGTTAGTGTTCAGAGGGAATTGGGCATCCTAGTACACCAGTCACAAAAAGTTAGTGAGCAGATACAGCAAGCAACTAGGAGGCAATGCCATGTTGGCGTTCGTGAATAATAATAATAATAATAATCCTTGCATTTGATATAGCGCTTTTCACGTCGGGAGGACGTCCCAAAGCGCTTCACAGAACACACTGTAGAGTGAATTGACTGTATATTTGTGGGCGAACGCGGCAGCCAATTGCGCACAGCAATGTCCCACAAACAGTCGTAGATTGAAAATGACCAATTTATTATTGTTTTGGGTTTTGGAGGGATTATTATTAGGGCTCTGTGTGGAGTAAGGAAACTTGCCCAAGGTTTCGCCCTCTGCCTGGAATTGAACTCAGGTCTCTCACTTGCAAAGCGAGTGCTCTAACCACTGAGCTACAGGACTCCACGTTGCAAAAGAGTTAGAGTACAAGAGTAGGAAAGTCCTTGAACATATTCAAGACTGAGGTTGATAGATTTGTGAAGGATAGAGAGATTAAGGGATATGGTGATAGGGCAGGTAAATGGAATTAAATTAGAAGATCAGCCATGATCTTATTAAATAGCTGGGCAGGCTTGAGTGGCCAAATGGCCTACTCCTGGTCCTATGTCTTATGGTCTTATGGCCTTTGGATCACCACCTTCATCAGAGTCTTGAGCCACTGGTTGGCTGCAAAAGCAGAGATCATAGCTTTCTTGGAGAATGAATCATCACTTATCAATGCATTAAAATTCACCAGTTGCTTTTCCAAAGCTAACTTTGTAGTATCAATACCTAACTCCTTGCTTGAAGGAGGGGTGGAAAGGGGAGGGGGGAGTAGTCCTGAGTAGGAAGCCTGACTGATTTCACCTCCTCAACCTAGGGTAGGGTTAATGTAAGTGCTCCGAGATGCTGCCCCCCAGTGAAGGGCGCGATACAAATGCAAGTTGTTGTTATCAATTGTAAACTCACCCACTGAGCTCAGCTAACCCGGGACACATCGGGATTAGAAGCAGCAATCTTCGAGGCTTTTGACCCTCTATGTTCGATTCTCTTGACCTTTTTCCCTCGAGTTCAGTTCCGAAGGGGCAAATTCAGGTCAGGGCTGCAAGAAGTGTTTGTTTGCGCACAGAGTAATCAACGGCAGGGAAAAGGGGGTTGAGATCGGGACGTTGGAATGCATTAAAAAAACGGCTGGATGCTGTGATAAGGGCAAGGTTTGGGTGGGAGTTGAGGAGGAATGAGATCAGAAGGGCTTTTCTTTTAATCTGAACTGATCTTGTGACTTCTTGTGACCTCAAGATCTTGTGAAGTATTCCTTCAATGTAAATTCAATGATTGTGTTTTACTCGTGCAATACCAATGATTTACTGCTCATGGCAATATTGAGCTGCTGGGAGCTACTCTTTCACAGACCTGCCATCTAACGGACTATCGAGGTACTGTAATCCAGATGTATACTATTATTATACGTACAATGATTATAAAGACGTTGAGCAGATTGAAGGCCTTAATAATCATGCTGTCTGTTGGGAGGAAGTGAGCTCAGCACAATACATTTCCTTGGGAGTGGTAAGGCAGCAGTTACGGCCGTTATTAATGGCGAGTTCCTAAAAGCTACTCTGTGGGAGGTCGGAGAATATCAAAGATCTTACTGATCAATGCCAGCAGCCGAGAACATGCCTAGAAGCTATCTTTTTAAGGCTGCTCAACAGGAAGGATCCAGTACGAAGTGCACACACACATTTACTAACATACGTAAGGTGAGTCTTCCAGAGTGATATCTATGCCACAAGAAGCATGACCCTAGTGAGATCAATAGATGACCGGGAAAACTCACTGGCTTCAGTGGCTCTTAAGGTGGGGTTTTGGATAGATAGTGTACTGGACACACTGTAGGTTTGCTGAGCAATCAGGAAGGCACAGGCTGCATTCTGTTCTTGTGAGGAAGGTCGGAGAAGTTACGGCTTGATTTGCGACTGTGAAACATTATCAGGGCTCTGGGTAAACCTAATTAGATTGCATTCGTCCATTCCCATAAGGTTTCTGACCCAGCGTTTCATGAAGCTCTGCTCATACCTTGGATTTTATCTGGGATGTGCATTCCGGCTCCAACGCTCGAGTTAACCCGCAAGCCAAAGCTCCTAATGGTTAGGGTGGTGCTAGCTGGACAAGCAACGAGCAGGAAGCTTGCCAGGCAGTGCTCTCAATGGCCAAGCTATGTGGTTTTAGCTGGTTAGACTCCAGCAGTTACTCTAACGCACACTCTGAGGCTCCCAAGCCTTGGCTCTTGCAAACCTGCACCTAGTACTTTCCAGGAAAGCAGAATGCGTTAAGCAGAATGCGTCCTTCCAGAAAGAGAGTGCACAATGCATTCTAACAATATATCTCTGGAGTTTGCATGGCTTTCCACACCTGTCAGACACACCTGACAACCCTATCACCCCCCCCCCCCCCCCACCACACACAAAAAAAACTAGGATTATGTAAGCAGGATGCATGCTTCTGGGGGAGAGAGTGAGAGATAGCTTTTCCAGACGCTGGGAAATTTTCACGTGTGGGCTGAACTGTTCACCTGGGTTGAACTACCGATGATTTTTTCAGACACACCTGACCGGCCAAGAAAGCATCGGCCACAACGGTGAAACTAACATTTCTTTGTAGCCTACACGTCAAACTTATGGATTGCTCGAAACGCTTCAAGCGATACATTCCTTACTGTTAATCTTTTGTCTGGGAGTGCTCTGCTGCTGCAAGAGACTAACCTTACTCTTAGATGTTGAAACACTGCACTCGCTGCAGTGTTGCTGAACCTGTGTGTTCATGGCCTGGGGAAGCCAAACGGCGTTTTTTTTTAACCTGCGCGGTAAACTATCGTAAAAGGTAGGCGGCAAGTGTAGGACGCCCCAAGTGCAGGAAACACCGTTGCGAGTCTCACCTTGCGGATTCTGAGTATGAGTCATTGCCGAATAACCAGAGCTAATGTTTAATACAAGAATAATTCGAAAATCGCTCAGAGGTTGAAACTCGAAACTTTGTTCCTTTCGTTGCAGTGGTAGAGCTCGGCCGGCTCCCTGACCGCCTACGGATGAACGCTCCCGTGAAAGAAGTGGAATTGTTTTCCGAGCTTTCGAAAGGCGATCTCGCTCCAGTGAAACGTAAGAGCAGCAGGGACCTTAAAGTGGGATAAAAGCGCTGATGGTTCCTCCACTGCCACAGACAACCTGCTCTTTTGCTACGAACGAATTTGCTCTTCTATATTTATTTTCCGTTTTTCTCCACATCACTTCTCTCGCTCTCTCTCTCTCTCTCGACTAATTCGTCACTGCAAGTTTCTGCCTCTCGATAATCCTTTATTTTCCACAGTTGGCCAAAAGCCAACTGCAGAGTTTGCTCAGATGGTGGCACTCTTCATGCCTCTCGAATTCACGCAGGCTAAGCTGAAACCTTTCCTGGCCTCTTTGCTCTTTCTGCAATTAGACTGATTTCTTTCCTACGCCTGTCACACCCTGTCCTATCATTTCTCCCCCAAGACAAACACCGTGCACATTAACGTATCGCGGATCTTTTTGAGGGATAATGCCAGCGATTGCTAGTTACGGTTTCTTTTCACTACAGATATGAATGATTCATTGAGCTAACTTTGTAGAATTGTTACGAGTTCATTGTGGATTCGATGTCAAACATGTCGCTGGTATTGTTTTAGGATTTCTCAGAGAACAGTCAATGAAGTGAAGAGTCGATCACTGGAGAACAGGTCAATAAGAGTCTCTGGACATGAAGGGGTTAAACATTTACAGTAAGAAGCAATACTTTAGAGTTATTCTACTGATCTCCATGCTACTTTTCATAATTTATGTCTTCTATTCATATTATTATCCATTTGCCATACTTCAGTTTAAGACTACACATACAAAGGAGCAAACGTGTGGAGAGCTCAGCTCTGCTGGTTCTTCCAAAGGTTTTTGGACAATTAAATCCGATGGACGTCTGGGCAATCAGATGGGGGAGTATGCCACATTGTACGCATTGGCCAAATTAAATGGCAAACAAGCCTACATTCTCCAGTCCATGGCCAATTACCTGTCTCCCATCTTCAGAATAAACCTTCCCACCCTCGATGAGAGTGTGTCAGAAAATATACACTGGATCCACTATCATCTGAATGACTGGATGGAGGACGCATACTGTCACATTTCCGGAGACTATGTTAAACTCACAGGGTATCCCTGTTCTTGGACTTTCTACCATCACATCCGAAAGCAAATCCTCTATGAGTTCACCTTCCATGACTACCTCATTGAGCACGCCAACATGTTCCTGAGAAGCATCAGCAAAGGGCAAGCCAATGTGACCTATGTTGCTGTCCATGTTCGAAGAGGAGATTATGTGGAGGTGATGCCAGAGGTTTGGAAAGGAGTTGTGGCTGATAAAGTCTATTTGGAAAAAGCAATGTCTTACTTCAGGAAGAAGTACAGCAACGTGGTGTTTGTGGTGACAAGTGAAGAAATGGATTGGTGCAAGGACAACATAGATGCTTCCAAAGGAGACGTTCACTTCTCAGGAGATGGACAGTCAAGCAGTCCAGCCAGAGACTTCTCCCTCCTCGCTCACTGCAATCACACTATCATGACAATCGGGACCTTTGGTATCTGGGCTGCCTACCTCGCTGGCGGGGAGACTATCTACCTCTCTAACTACACTTTACCCGATTCACCCTTTTTAAAAGTCTTTAAATATGAGGCAGCTTTCTTACCCGAGTGGATAGGGATTCCCGCTGACCTCTCACCTGTTCTGACCAAGAAAGATTTAAATACAATCCTAAAGTGATTATAGCACTCTAGTAATTACATGCCCTTCTATCCAATGTCGCTCACTTTTGCTCCTAATTCTCTCTCCGCTCCTTGTCAAGCCCCTGCAACCTGGCATCCACTCTTCCCACAGCATCGAGATGGTCCTTGTCAAAGTCACCAACAACATATTCTCTCTTTCTCTCTCTCTCTCTCTCTCTCTCTCTCTCTCTTTCTCTCTCTGCGACCAGGACTTGTTCTGCCCCGTGTCCTTCTTGTCCTCTCTGCTGCTTTTGGACATTCTTGACCATTCATAAGAACATAGGAACAGGAGGAGGCTGCTCAGCTCTTTGAGCCACCATTTAATTAGATCCTGGCTGATCTGTACCTCAACTAATCCTTTCAATTCCAATTTCCCGCTTTCTCCCCATAGTCCCGAATACCCTGACCTACTAAAAATCTATCAACCTCACTCTTGAAGTTGTAGATAGATCCAACATTCACTGCCTTTTGGGGAGGAGAATTCCAGATTTCTACAGGGGATTGTTACCCCTGGAAAAGCGATCTGCCAATTGACTAACAACCTACCTACCTAGGTTGTCCCACCGACTGCTGGGTAAACAGAAGCTTGTGGAGTGAGGAAACCTACCTACCTGGAATCAAACCCAGGTCTTGTTGTGAGACAGGTTAGTTTTATCCTAACCTGTGGAGTCCTGGAGCATAATGATTGGAGCACTCATCTTGCAAGCGAGAGAAGCCCAATTTATGTCAATGGGCACGTCTGAAAATGGGTGGATTCTCATGGTATATCATTCACCTGGAGGTTGATTTCAGGGCCGGGAAACTGGGAAAAGTTTGTTCATATTCATTGAATATGAAAGGCTTTGTTTTGAAACCTGTTTCATCTGTTTTATGTGCTCACAACAGTGTCTCCTTCAGGGCAGTGGATGCATTTCCCCCATTGGCGTAACACACTGCCGGGTTGGTTTCATGTTGTTTTGGGGGATGATCACAGATATTTGTTTCACCAATTATGCTCTTGATTCTCGGAAGCTGTATATAAAAAAAATCTTGACTCAGGAATAGAACCAGTTCTTGCCCAGGCTTGAGCGCTGCTGGTTTAAATAAATTCACCAGTTGTCAGGACGCCTGTGAAGTCTGTTGGAAGAGGAAGAGGAAGTGGGAAGATAGTGACCTAATTCATTGGCTTTGAAATTCTGCAAAATGTTTGCTACACAACAATATTTCTTTGCTTCTTCCACTTCCTGTCACTGCCCTGTCTCCAACACCTCTCTCCGCAACTGCACTGGATCTTGGAGTAACTTTTCCCCTTCAATTCTCAACTCCTCTACATTTCCTAGAAACCTGGAAGGTAAGTAATGACGGCTTATCTCAATGTGTAAGAATGTTATCTTGATACGATCACCAATGCACTTCACAAAGTAAGGTGAATTCCAAATGAAGTGAATTTTCGGCAGGAAAATGTGGCTCTTTTCTGCTCTCAGTAAAGTCAGATGTGCTCCAACCTGTGGCGACTCACAGCATATGGGTTAGAGCACCCGCCTTGCAAGCGAGAGGACCCGGGTTCAATTCCCGGGCAGGGAGAAACCTTATGTAAGTTTCCTTACTCCACACACCTCTGTTTATTGAGCAGTAAGTAGGAACCCGTATGTTAGTCGACTGGTGGATCGCTTTCTGGGGGTAATAATCCCATCCCCAAATAAATAGATAAATAAATAAATAAATAAATGATTTGGTCAATTAGTCCACAACTGTTTGTGGGACACTCTTGTGTGCGATTGGCCGCTGCAATTTTCCCACAAAATATAGTCAATTTGCAAAATATAGTCAATTTATAATCTGTGAAGCAATCTGAGTCGTCCCAACAAGGTGATAAGACGCTATATCAAACGCAAGGATTATAATTCTCTGCTTGTACCTTTGTTCTCCCTAATAGACAAACATTTGTTGTGTTGCTGGATTTCTCCTTATGCAACGCTAGAGCAATGTATGTCAATTTCTGGCTCAGTGATTAGAGCACTCGCTTCGCAAGCGAGAGATCTGGGTTCGATTCACGGCAGGGCGAAACGATGAGCATGATTTCTTACTCCACACGCCTTTGTTCCTTGTATGTAGGAAACTGGTTGTTAGTCGATTGGCGGATCGCATTTCCGGGCGGGTAATAATTCCTTCAAAAAAAATCCTATGATAAATAAATCAATTGGTCACTCAATCCATGACTATTTGCGGGACACTGCTCTGCACAATTGGCTGCCGGGTTTCGCCCACAGGTGATAAGGTGTTGATAAGGTGCTGTATCAAATGCAAGGGTTATTATTATTATTAATGTCTCACAACTTGTGTCGCAGTTAGCACCAGTTGATCATACTTCATGGGATCATTGTGATTTCGATGACAAATATGCTCCCGGTGTTGTTTTCAGAAAAAGATAACAGATCTGGAGACACAATCAGTAGAGACCACATCAACAAGAGTCTTTGGAAGTGATGGAGTCAAATATTTTCGGGAAGAGGCTGTACTTTGGAGTTCTGTTGTTCACAGCGATTTTACTCACCATCGCTTATTACTTAATGCCATTTCCTCCACTGACCATTCTTGAAGGTCAATTTTCAGAAAATTCACAAAACATGGATTTGTACATCACAGAGACAAACAAGACAACTAAAACACATCAAGGGACAAACTCTGTTATCGCATCCAAAGGCTTTTGGACAATTAATTCCATAGGGCGTCTGGGCAATCAAATGGGGGAGTATGCCACATTGTACGCATTGGCCAAATTGAATGGCAAACAAGCCTACATTCCCCAGGCCATGGCCAATTACCTGTCTCCCATCTTCAGAATTAACCTTCCCACCCTCCATGAGAGTATGTGGAATAAAGTACATTGGCAGAACTATCAGCTGAATGACTGGATGGAGGATAGATACCGACACATCCCTGGAGACTATGTTAAACTCACAGGGTATCCCTGTTCCTGGACCTTCTACCATCACATCCGAGAGGAAATCCTCCGTGAGTTCACCTTCCATGACTATCTAATTGAAGAGGCCAACACGTTCCTGAGAAGCATCAGCAAAGGGCAAGCCAATGTGACCTATGTTGCTGTCCATGTACGAAGAGGAGATTATGTGGAGGTGATGCCAAACATTTGGAAGGGAGTTGTGGCTGATAAAGTCTATTTGGAAAAAGCAATGTCTTACTTCAGGAAGAAGTACAGCAACGTGGTGTTTGTGGTGACAAGTGAAGGAATGGATTGGTGCAAGGACAACATAGATGCCTCCAAAGGAGACGTTCACTTCTCAGGAGATGGACAGTCAGGCAGTCCAGCCAGAGACTTCTCCCTCCTCGCTCACTGCAATCACACTATCATGACAATCGGGACCTTTGGTATCTGGGCTGCCTACCTCGCTGGCGGGGAGACTATCTACCTCTCTAACTACACTTTACCTGATTCACCCTTTTTAAAGCTCTTTAAATATGAGGCAGCTTTCTTACCCGAGTGGATAGGGATTCCCGCTGACCTCTCACCTGTTCTGGTCAGGAAATAAATGATTGCTGACAGGGTGGGTGACTTCCGAAAGATGTTTTTCTGCAGTTCTTAAAAGGAACCGGCTTCCAAATTAAGATTGGGTCATAAGAACCTTGCCACGACCTTAAATATTAAAACCAAAGAGTCTCAGCAGCTATGACGAGCCGGAGTTTTGTGCCTTTGACCGTATCAATGTAACCCCCAAAAAAATCTGGAATCTGTTTCAATCTGTTGCCTGTCTTTAGTTTGCAACAGTATTAAACATTAACGGATACGTTCGTCTGGCACTGTAGTGGCTCTTCCTGCCTTTTTGTGTGTGGGTGCGTGTCAGATTTCCTTTGTGTTTAACAGACTGAAACCACTTGTATTGGACTAAAGACGGATACGATCTTCGAACGGGCCAACAAGATGGTGGGAGGCTATGTGCGTGCGTGCGTGTTTGTGAGCGTGCGTCCATCGTCCGAACTCCTTTCTCTGATCCCGTGAGCGTTAAGAAAGGCGCTCAATCTCGATTGCTGGTATCAAGGTTGTGGGTTTGGGCTCGGAGTCGGAAGCTTTCTCCCAAGCTGGAGTCTTATCACCGGAACCTTTGACACAGTGAGGCCCTGCTCAGTGCCGATGTGAAACTCGTTCTCTCTCGAACACAGGCCGCCGTCCAGCAAAAGTGAGTGACACACTGAAATCGCAGTGGGGGGAGCGGGGGAGACGGAGTGTTTTAATGTACGTCAAGATGACCTCTCGTTTGCCCTTTTTTTCTTAAAACTCGTCCTCTGTTTTTCCCCCAAATTCCTATTGCCATCTGCTTTCTGTGGCCTTCAAGTCACCCCTTAATAAGGGGCTGAAGATGATGCCTTACTGTGAAGCACTGATAGCTGCTGTATTTATAAGCCTTAAAAAATAATGAATTGTATCAAAACATGGGATAAGTATATACCACACTATGACTAGCCAGATGCTTACGCCAAGTTAACACTTACAGAATGAATAAAGACTGTTGATCCAGTGTGACTTATTTATAAGACGTGCCTGAGCTGGAATCCGTATCAAGCGCTCTGGGACGCTTCCCTGTGCAAGTTGTTGTTGTTGTTGTCGTCGTCGTCGTTGCTGATCCCTGGATTAATCTTCTAATAAAGATGCAGCACAATATTGGAGCTTGGTGACGATGGCTTGCATGTGCCTAACCGCGCACCAATCCTACCGTGAAAACTAACCAGCGCTCCCATCGCACCTGCCCCCACACCCCCCCCCCACCCCCGGTCGTCCTTTGGAACTCCGTGCAATAGTCCTTCGCTCCCTCCTTCCCTTCCTCCGTCCCTCCCTCCCTCAGAGCCCGTCTCAATGCCCTATCACTGCCCTCCCCGCCCTCCACCCCTCCTGATCGCGACCCACGACTCTGCTCCAAATCCAGCGCCTTGGGACGTTCTCCCGACGGAAAAGGCAGCTGCCGTGTGAATGTGACTTGTACTTGTTGCCCTCGCAGCGCCCGTCCTCACAGGATCGCCATGTGATGTTCCACGCCGGTAACACCCGACAAATTCACGTTGAGTGGGTTGCGATGGAGTGACGGGCCGCAGTGAGGCTTCCATCCTCTATAGCTTCCCAAACAACAACAACAACAAATTACATTTGAGCAGCACCTTTCATGTTGGAAGGATGTCCCAAACCGCCGCACAGTTAAGGGTTGACACCCAAGCCGGGGGTTGGAATCAAGCGGGTCGGAGGGTAGGAGTGGCTGAAAAGACGGTAGGGGTCTTGAGATGGCCCCTTGAAGGAGACAAGGGATTGGGGCGAGGTGGACGGATCGCTGGATGGAGTTCCAAAGGTTGGGGGCAGAAAGGCTCGCCCTCTCCCTCTGCCAATGGTGGGACGGGCAGGGCGGGGGATATGGAGAAGACCAGTGTCCCCCGAGTGGAGGGACAGGTGTGTGCTGTCAATAGGTCACGGTGGTCAGCAAGACCACGGTCAAATGATGACTCAATCGCTAGCCCCCACTCCCCACCCCGGTATGAACTTTCTAATAATAATAATAATGATAATAATAATAATCCTTGCATTTGATATAGCGCTTTTCACGTCGGGAGGACGTCCCAAAGCGCTTCAGAGAACACACTGTAAAGTGAATTGACTGTATATTTGTGGGCGAACGCGGCAGCCAATTGCACACAGCAATGTCCCACAAACAGTCGTGGATTGAAAATGACCAATTTATTGTTGTTTTTGGTTTTGGAGGGATTATTATTAGGCTCTGTGTGGAGTAAGGAAACTTGCCCAAGGTTTCGCCCTCTGCCTGGAATTGAACTCCGGTCTCTCACTTGCAAAGCGAGTGCTCTAACCACTGAGCTACAGGACTCCACTTCTACTCCTGGATTATAGGGTTGCTGATCACTCTCATTTACCAACCTCAGTAAGATTATATTTGTAATGCTTATGGTTTTTAAGAATTTTGATTAGTAAACTTTTCAAATATAACCAAACACGATTTAGTAGAGCATTCCTTAGCTATTAGGGGCATAGACAAGGGTGTGTGCTTTTAACTGACTAACTTAGGGCCCCCTAGAGGGTTACGTGTGCCAGTTAGCGTTAGCAAAGGTAAAGGATATGTTGACTTGACGCAGGCTGAGGTCAGATTCTGATAACTTTCCCTCGTTCTCTCAGTGCCTGGGTTCCGTTGTCATCCTCCCATCGAAGAATTGAGTAATCATGACCTTGAGCACAGATGTAAACATGTGGAGTCCTGTAGCTCAGTGGTTGGAGCACTCGCTTTGCAAGCGAGAGACCTGAGTTCAATTCCAGGCAGAGGGCGAAACCTTGGGCAAGTTTCCTTACTCCACACAGAGCCTAATAATAATCCCTCCAAAACCAAAAACAATAATAAATTGCTCTATTTCAATCCACGACTGTTTGTGGGACATTGCTGTGCGCAATTGGCCGCCGCGTTCGCCCACAAATATACAGTCAATTCACTTTACAGTGTGTTCTGTGAGGCGCTTGGGGACGTCCTCCCGACGTGAAAAGCGCTATATCAAATGCAAGGATTATTATTATTATTAAACAGGGAGACTAAGAGAAAGAAGCGGGTTCCTGGAAATCTGATTAGCTCAACACTAAGAAATAGGAAAGAAATCCTCCCAATTAGCTGTGCGTATCTCTTTCTCCTTATCAGTTATTTTCCCATGCAAAAAAAGAGCTCATATATCGCTATCAGCTTGCAAAGGGTGGGGGCCATTTCTGTGACCAGGGGAGGTGGAGTTAGAAACTCGTAGAACAAAGATGTAACTCTGAAATAGTTGTGTAGAGGGTCAACACACTACGCAGTGGAATTGATATTGATTCTACCGTATCTATGTACATGTAGCAGGGGGTGAGGGAATTTACCTCCAGGAAGAAAGTGAACTATTAAAAGTGAAGGAGAAGTAATAACAGTAGTTCGACAAGTAGAGGAGAAGGACAAACAGCTCCAGACAATGTGTCCTCTACTGTTCCACGGTTGGAGAACTGGGTAATGTGATTCTGTTTTCTTTGACTGCTGATTGTGATCTGTGATTACTGATTCAAATCGAGTCTGTCTACAACAAATAAACTTTCGGCACCGGTTTGGTATTGTCAGGTTATCCAACACTACTTTTTCTCTGTTTAGAACAATAAACTCTCTCACATTCACAGTTGAGTAAAAAAATGACGCATAGAACCTGCTTTAACCTACAAAATGCCTGCTCACATTCTCTGTTCAGATGAGTTGTTCCTTGCCTTACCACGGTAAGGGGGTGCGGCATTCAGTTGTAATTCTCATCAAAGTTCCAGTAACAACCTGCCATATTTGATAATGTGCCCTCTTGTTCATTACTTCAACGGTGGAACCACTCAACGATATCTCCTCCCACACAGTCTCCTAATTACATGGAGTCCTCAGTGGTTAGCTCGCCTTGCAAGCGAGAAGACCTGGGTTCGATTCCCCAAGCAGGACAAAACGTTGGGCAAGTTTATTCCCCCCCCCCCTCCTCACAAATATACAGTCAATTCACTTTACAGTGAAGCGCTTTGGGACGTCTCGAAGACGTGAAAAGCGCTACATCAAATGCAAGGATTATTATTATTATATTATTATTATTATTTTTACAGACTGTAAAGTTGATAAAAATTGCCCCGTTGAGAGTGGGGGGGGTGGGGTGGGGGGGGGGGTGGGGGGAACAAGTCTGTAATTGTGTTGAGAGTGTAAAACGGACGTTAGCGTGAAAGGTGCCACGCATTAGAACTTGCAACGGCATACTGCGATGTTGCTAAAATTGGCCTAGTCGCGTGCCCTAGTTCTCAGGACCGGGAAAAAAAAATGCAACCAATGTTTTGTTCCTCATTTGTTTCCTCACCACCCTACACCCAGCTCACCTCTCCCCAGGCTGGAAAATTGTGGTCACAAGACCGCAAGAGAGTAACAAATGACGAAGGTTACATTGAATGGGGAAAACAGGCCCAACGGTACCTAGGAATGTGTATACTCAACGACAATAACAACTATAAAGCCTCACAGGCGGAATGGTCTCGGAGCGCTCCACACACATCTACACCTGTCCTAGTTCCCTCTCCTGTGCCTCTCTAATCGCTTGAGGTTCTTTTATCAATTGGCTCCAGCGCCTTGGGCATTCTTCCGACATGAAAGGCGTATACAACTGCAATTTGCTGCCGGGTTGTTCCATACACCCACCCATTACCGTTACGAGTGCCAAGTCTTTTCCTGAACCAGTCAGACAAGTCCTGGCCTCAACCAGCTGCTTCTGCTGTCCAGTTCCAATCCTTTATCCCGAGACTCGGTTATGATGCTCTTCCCCCCCTCCTCACCCACATACACACCAATAACTCACTCATCTCACACGCACGCACGCACGCACACAAAGAAAATCAATTTGGTAACAGAGGGCGGCTTCTGCCAACGTGTTGAGCCCAATTCTGAGGAACTAAATGGAAAAATTTGACAATCCTGTGGTTCAATTGACAATAGTTTTGTTGCAGCTCACATTCACGCCTTGTTTGGCTACGACTTATCTGACTTGCTGCACTGCTCTGTCGCCACTTTGAACTTCCCACAGACTCGTTGACTCTCACTTTGCTGATTAGGCGTGCAAGCCAACATAATGATAAGCTAAATGCAAAATACTGCAGATGCTGGAAATCTGAAACAAAAACAGAAGTCGCTGGCAACACCCGACGGGTCAGGCAGCATCTATGGCGAGAGGAAAGTGGGTCAAAGTTTCGAGTCCACTACCCTTCGTCAGAAATGTTGACGTTACCCTATTCCAAAGGGAGAAGCTTAAATACAAGCTGTTGCCGTTGCTATCATCGCCTGTTCAGGTGGACGTTAAAGCGAGTGAAGGGAGTTTCTCTCAGCGCCCATCAACTAATCCCCCCCCCCAACCCCCTCAGTAGTTAGAGCATTCGTATCACAAGCAAAGGACCTGGGTTCAATTCCCGGGCAGGGTGAAACCTTGGGCAAGCTTACTTACTCCACACTCACGCCTCTGTTTACCCAGCAGCAAGTAGGAACCCGGTTGTTAAGTCGATTGGCGGATCGCTTTTCCGGGGGTAATAATTCCTTCAAAAATAATAATAATAACAAATTTGTCACTTCGATTCACGACTGTTTGTGGGGGGCGCTGCTCTGCGCAATTGGCTGCCGCGCTTCGCCCACAAACTATACAGTCAATTCACTTTACAGTTTATTCTGTGAAGCGCTTTGAGACGTCTCGAATGCAAGGATTATGATAATAAAATCATTCACTTCGAGGATGTTTGTGAGTCATTGCTGTGCATAAATTGGCTGCCTCGTTCGCCAACGAAACAGACAATCGCTACACTTTACAGTATATCCTGTGAAGCGCCTTAAGACGTCCTCCAAGTGCTGCAAACAGTGTTCCCTTTTTCCTGGATCAGTGCCTCAGCATTGGCTCAAAACATTGCCCAAGCATAACCTCCGAATAGCAAGGCGTTTTAAAGAGAATTGTCACTGGTGCGGACTGAACTCGAAAAT